TGAACTTGTGGGGAAAGATACGAAGTTAAAACAAGTCTCAACACCTAGTCTCCCTGAAGAGACTAAGCAACATAAGTCTCGAGCACCAGCACCTGGGGATTCCAAGCATGCAGTTCAATGTCCCTGGTGTTCTACAAAGTTCGATCCTGGATCGTCGGTTGCCTTACAGCCCGATGCCTCCGATTCTCGGCCGGAATCTGTTGAAGTCCAACGAGGTGCACTTGCTCCTCATGCTGCTAGCATCTTGATGAAGCTCTTATATGCAGCAAGGATCGCCCGATTTGATTTGTTGAGATCAATCAATACATTAGCATCGCAATGTGACAAAATGGTCCATTCAAGATGATGATTATACCATCTGATGTGCTATGTCAACTCTACCTTAGGGAAGAGAATGATTGGATGGGTCGGTAATGACATGAAAGATCTATCCATTGCGTTGTATGCAGATGCTGACTTTGCGGGATGTGCACAATCATTGAGGTCCACATCAGGTTCTCATATGCATATTCAGGGGAAACGTACTCGGTTTCCGTTCGCTGGTGGGAGCAAACGCCAGGGGTGTGTGAGCCATTCTACACCTGAAGCTGAGATCGTAGCCGCTGATGTAACCCTTCGAACAATGGGTCTTCCTGCAGTCAGTATTTGGGAAACGCTTACAGAATCATCTCCCAAGCTATTGTTTCATGATGACAATCAAGGGATGATTGGTGTGGTTCGTTCTGGAAGGAATCCAACAATGCGGCATCTGGAAAGGACTCATGGAATTTCTATTACGCCATTACATGAGCATTTCAGCAAAGGTCACTTTGTCCTCATGTACGAGATCACAGCGAAGATGGCCGCGGACATCCACACGAAAGGTTTTACAAACCCCCTAGCCTGGAAAAAGGCTTGTATGTTGATCAATCTTTTGGAGCCCGAAGACCTTGGTTCGAAGCAATTGGCCGACTTAGTGCAGCCCACTACAGATGTTGACACTACAGTTCGTCAAGTCTTTCAGTCAAGGACAGATGAGGTTCCCAATTTTCCGTATACTGCAACACCCATACTGCCACCTGAGGTGTATCGTAAGGGTCTTTCAAGTCGAGAAAAGCTTCAAGAACTACCCGGTATGGATCCAATCTTTGTGGTCAAAACCCCTACATTGTTCAGAACAAGACCAGCTGGTGTCAAACTTCCTGCAGATTGCCTTCGGAGCACCTGGATCTTAGTCCACGGGAAGTGGGAGCAAGTTGAGGATCGTGTTCCACCTTTGTTACAACAATCACGTTTTGACAAATGGATAGAAAGGGCATGTTTCCAGTATCATCACCCCACTTCCGCTCCGATTGTTTCACTGCCCGTATGTGCATCCACAGCGGCCAGCTCTCGGTTTCTACGTACGTCGACGTTGGAACTGAGCAATCCGAGCCTCACATTCAGTACTGAAATACTCTTTGAACAAGCTCAACGTCCTCAGAAGATTCCGTTTTCGTTGTATGAAGGGAATCCTATGACACTTAGGGTGATCAATGCCCTGGTACGCCTTGTTCATGGGGGGAGAGGCATGGAGGATTCGAAACAATTCAAAGGTCAAAAACAGTTCAACAAAGCACTTTCAGAGATGTTGAAGTTACAAAAGCCGCCCATACGGAGAAAAAATACAAAGAAAATAGCATCAGCAACTGAATGTGGTCATGATGAAGTTCCTGTTCGTGATGAATGGAAGTGGATAGGGGACCATGTTTTGGAAAGGATCCACAATGTACCGAGAAGAGAGATGTTCGTTCCAAGTGATTTTGATGATTGTCCATGTGATCATCTTTTGATTCAAGATTGGAGAGAAACTCAATTGAAGTTCCAGTCGAATGTGAGGGTGGACAAAAGTAATTGCCGTCTCCCAGGTAACAACGGAGAAAGGTCAAACAATCGAAATGAGTTCTGGACTGGAAAGTCTATCTTTCGTGTTTTGAGACATCAGGAGGTTCTTCCGGTTGCGAGTTGCATTGTGGATGATAATCTGATGGCTTGTGTCAACACCATGGGTCTGAACATCATTTCTCCTGACAAGATATTTATCCCTCACACATATCGAATGGTGGTCGAAGAGAATAAGAACAAGAATGAGTTGAACATATTTGCAGACAGTCTGATCAATTTGGTATTGGTTCGTGACAATGGGCAATGCATGCAGTATACGTTCACCAGATCGATTCATGATCTTGACAATACAAAGTATCTGGGGAAGAACGTCACTATTACAATGCAAGAGTTGCCCGAAAGAACACCCACTATGATATTGATGTGCGCTGAACCTTCAAGTTTGATGACAAAGAGATACAGTGAGATCATGGATACTTCGTTTCATCTGGAATTGATCACAGAGGATGATGACCTTCTCTCCAGATATGGGAGTGCAAAGTGGAGGAGATGCCTCCGCAGCAACAAGGATTGCGTCTTCTTCGCTGGACCGTGCACGGGCGGATCCCCGTGGAACAGGCTGAACAAAAGGGTTAGCATTGCTACAGCTCACATGATTCATGCCAAGGCACGTCTATACTGGAAGTTATGGGAGGAGTTTTCAAACTGTCTTTTGAGAGTGATCAAGTTGGATGCCATGGCCTTATTGGAGCTACCTAGAGGTTGTGACTACTGGCATGATGAACGGATGAAGTGTATGATCGATGGAACTGAATCGCACACCCATGACTTCGATGGATGTATGTACGGTCTTACAACACAGTTTGGTGGTCGCAAAAATTCTAATCAAGAAGCCATGGAGAATTGTATCATGGGGGGTCAAGTTTGACTTACACAAGAAATGTGACCGGAGACATGATCATGGAAAATGTGAAGGTCGGGAAACGAAAGTCACACAGACCTACACCAAAAGGATCGTCGACATTATTCTCAAAACAGTGTGTCAACATATGTCTATTCGGTTCAAGAAGTCGTTGTCAGATGCGGATGACACATGCAGCAGTTGCAGGCATGATAGACGTACAGCAAAGAAGACAGCGGTTTCAATTGTCTATGACGCAGATGAAGTATCAGCTGATCTTATGTGGTTGATGATGTTTCATATGGACGGATGTCGAATCAATGCGCGCCCTGATTTCTCAGGATACCAAATCACAGGAAATCAACGGGCCACGACTTTTGCGACTTCACATTCGTCGTGCACCACCGAGTGGGCGATCGGAAACCTGAACGAGTATCCTCGCCAGGGAGTACGTGACCCCAGGGCAATCGGAAAGTCGGAGGTTAAGCGACCCCGACGAGTACGTGACCCCATCGGTCAGGTCGCCATGTCGAACTACTCCCAGATCATTGGCTCTGCGCAAAATGACCTCAACGACATCAGCTCCATCCTCATCACGTTGCGAGACAACGGGAAACATGGAGTTATTCCCGCCATGTACAAGGAGTATGACCCGACGGTCAGCAGCTTACCGGACAACACGGTCGACAGGTGGCATGCAATCGGGATTAGCCCAATCGCTGCGGCATCAGCATGCTTCTTGGGCAAGGTTCCCTCGAACCGATCCGAAGTGGATGCCATCACGTTGTTCCTTCAGATCTTAGAGTTGATCAAGAACCAGGAAGAGCTGAACCAAGGAGCTAAGAGATTCCTGGATCGATGCACCACCTACATGAAGACCTTTATCCAACTGGCATCTCGGAACAATCACAAAGTTCTTGGGTTCTGCACCATTGAATGCATCAACAGTTTGGGAAACATGTGGGAGTACATCAAGAATTTCCATGTACCTCATCCCATCCGAAACGATGGAACCTTTACTGTGTCGATGCTACGTGATCACCTACGGGAGTTCAAGCTTCGACCTTATGGGGGTGACCTACGAGGTGTGAACCAATCAGTCCCAGCCGAGAACACGTGGTTGAGCGCAACAAAGAAGAAGGACGGGGTTCTCAATCCGTCGGATCCCGATGCGCCCATCACCATCTCGTTCAGGGCGATCCATCGAGAGCTCCACTACTTCGACACGGACTTGACCTGGCAATCTCAAGGGACTCAGAACATGTTCAATGCGGCTCTCGACGAGTGGCAACGTCAAGTGATCCACTTGGGGCACGCATGGAGATGCTACAATCAAAGGTGGATGATGAGGGTGAGTACCTGGAGCCCATGACTCTGGAGACAACGATCAATGACCTCATCGAGCAGAACACCAAGCTGGGTCGTGAGCGAGCCGCTGCGGTGAATCACTTCACTTGCATCTTGGCTCTGGCTCCCGCGATCTTCAGATGGAAGAAGAAGCTGCAAAGATTTTGGAGCTACTCCGGATTGGCCAGGGAAAACATGAGCAAACTCGACGAATATGTGGCACGGGTTCAACAGTCACTGTTGCTCACCCCGGAGATCCTGGAGAATCATGGATACAACGTCATCAACGTCGAGGAAGGCAACCACGGAGAGATCAAGAAACGCAACAAATGCTTCTCCGCTCTGAGGGAATTCATGACAACCCTCACGGAAACCCAAGCCGGAGGAGGACAGTCAGGAACTCAAGTTGCTGAAAGTGGATGGAAGAAAGTGTTGAGGTTTGGTGACAACATTTGGCCACCGGAGCCCCCCAGGGGACAAGTTCCGGAATGGGTCACGATTCAAGACCCGACTGTGCCAGCACCGAGGGCCAACAGGTTCGGTCCTAGACCACAAGGCTCCACCACAACCTTATCCATCGGCTCAGCCACCACCACCGAAGGCAAGACCAACTTCTCCTAAGGCACCACCACCGCGATCAAGTGCAGCAGGGTCACAGTCATCAAGTTCAGCTGGACCACCACCACAAGCTGCACCCAAACCAGCGGCGAAGCCCATGCCGACGAGGCGTGACATGCCTGAGACTGAGTTCGTCCCGCCACTGAAACCACTGAATGTGGCCACCTACTGCAAGGTGTGGACAGACTACACGGGCACGCAGGTGAGATCAATCTTGAATGTTCATGTGGACACCGCGAACGAGTTCGCCTTGTCGCACGTCCAAGGGCCAATGGCGAACAGTGCTCAACTGACGTGGCGCCAGTATCTCAAAAGGTTGGCCACGTACACCTGCTTATGCTTTGGACTTGCAAACGCCAGAGAGATAGGAGAGACATCCTACCCCTTCAGTGATATGGAATGGCTGAGGATCTACAATGCAGCCGTGAAGCGTGGGGGGATGGTGCACCAGAACTACTACCTATCAGTTGGGTCCATGGCAGTCATGATCAACGTGAATGATGAGATGCAGGCCACCGATCGCGATTACACGAAGTGGAAGCGAGGCCTGATGTCGGGCATCGGTGGAACCATCGTGGAGAAGCCAATGGTGCGCAAAGAGACGGATGAGCTGGCAGGGAAGTTCAGATTTGGCAAGACCATTTTGATCACTGACCTCGTCTACAAGTGCAACTCGAATGCAAGAGGAACGACCAACATCCAGTACGGGCTCGATGAAATGGGCTACGCTGCCACGGTCATTGACATCAACAGCTTCAAGAGCGTGACCAGAGCCCAGGAGTTCCTTGATGCAATCGATCACTTGAAGAGGAATGTGATGCCAGACATCGCGTCAGAGGAGAATGTGACAATTCACTTTTGGATATCGTTTGCATTCCTCATCACAGACACTCATCCATACCATGTATGGGTCGAAGGAAACTTCGCTGAGAGGTTGGCCGAGGCGATCCGAAACGTTGACAAGATGGCAACAAGACCGATCTTTGTGTCGCTCTGCAAGGATCCCAGGTTTCATGGTATTCGGTCTGGTATCCAGGACGTCGCAATGGATTCGGCGGACATCTTGAGAAGCTACGGGATCATGGTCACGACTGATGATGGGATGTGGCGACTGATGTACGGTCATGCCGGGAACCATTACATGAACAACCACAACATGCCTGACCGGCTGGGAGTTTTCGCTACCATGGAGAAGTTCCTATTCAGACAAAGGGTACTGTTAATGTGCTCCCTGAATGTCGAAGCTGCAAAGGGACTGAACGACATGGTAAAGGAGTCTTCCTTGAAGGTCGGCACCAACCTGGAGCTGATGGAGGAAGTGCTCAAGGAACCTTCAACGATTCAGATCGGAACTGGAGGAGGAGTACCAGATACTGCGAGCAGTGGATCCGATTGCCCAGGCACTGTTGGAGGTGGAAGAAGAGTGAATGTGGAGTATGAGAAAGCGCCATGGATTGAAGCAACGGTGAGATCAGTTATGCCAGAATCTTCAGCCAACATGTACGACATGTGGTTCTATGTCAACCATGGGCGCGATGAGGTGATTCTATGCCAAAAACACTACAATGAACGTGATGATGAAGTGATGCCACGCGATTTCATGAATCAAAACCTTGGATGTGGAAAAGAGTGCATTGCCTGCCGCGCCAGTGAAATGGCAAGGGAATACAACCTTTGGCCTCCTGAGTACCAACGAAAGACGATCATCAAGACGGCGGCAAGGTCTCGTGCATTCTTCAACATCATGGCTGATGGGGGCAATGCGATCACGGTCCCTCAGAAGGATTTCGTGCAGTTCCTCAAGGACATCACCAAGGCGATGGTGGGCAACAAGGGATGCGAACACGGTGAGATCCTCATGAAGGCGTTGTCGCACTTTGGGATGGTCAGAGTTCCCAGGGATCGCGTGAAACAGATCTTCACTGGAAAACGTGGGAGACAATACAGCGTCATCCGAGAAGAGTTCATGCTGGATGATGGTCAGGAGGCCCATGCGAGGTTCGCATACCGTGTATCCAAGGACTACGGGAATGTCTTCTACAAGGACTACCTCAAAATGGTGCTCGGGGATGACTTCGCAGATGCCATGGGCTATCTCGACGTTGCAGCTGAGAAATGTGGCGACGTGGTCGAGATGCGGCTTGGCATGCTTGACCTGGCCAACATGACGAAGTCGCAGATCACGTTCATGGAGACGAAAGCTGATCCAGGTGAGCTGCTTGCGGGCCTGGAAGCATCGCTCAACATCTTCCATGGGACGACAAGGTCTGCCACAACTCCCAACACCAAGAGAGGTGGATCGAGGATCACGGAACCCACGGACCACGAAGAGGCCGTTGTGAACTCAATCTTGCATGACATCCCAATGTACCACAGCCTGCAAAATGCTTGTTTGATTGAGGACAAAGAGATCAGCATCATCAACGAGAACTACAAGAGATCAATGGATGATAAAGTCAACGATGATGACATGGAATCCGAAGGTCACGGGACCGGGGGAGGTACATCTACCACCCCGGAACCAACGACCGGAGGTGCGGAAGCAAGTGCCGAAGGAGCAGGTAAATCTACCGCTCCGGACATGCACGATGCGACCAACTCTCCATCAAACCCTGAAGAGGAGTTCCAAATCTCTCAGGACAAGGGAGCAATCATCGAGGCCATTGACGCACTCTTTGCCCTGGCAGATGACAATAACGTTTGCCTGAAGTGTGGAGAAAGCGGACATCCCAATTATGAGTGTCCGACAAAAGGTGTCGATCAAGTAAAATCAGCTTTGGTCAACCTGAGGAAGAAACTACAGGGTGATGATGTCCAAGACAAGGAAATGTCCAAGGAGGATGACGGCGAAGGACAAGATCGTTTCCGTCAAGAGAACTACAAGGCCACCAGGGAAGGAGAGTACATGTACCTCCAAGCTATTCCGTTGTCGGTAATCGGAGATCGAGCACATGGCGAGAAGAGCATCAACGGGGTGAGAGCCGATGAGAAGGGCCCAATGACAAAAGACGAGCTGAACCAGAATCGTCGACACGGCCAGTCAGAAGGGCATCACTATGACCTGTAAGGAGATGAAATCGGCGATGACATACTCCGACCACAAGATGTACAAGAAGCTCATGATCGGAACCGACATCGGAAAGCTCAAAATTCTACCAGTCAACGGCGGCAAGTTCTACTCCAACGGATATGCCGGACATGGAGTTGAATACCCACTGCCGACGGAATCCAATGCGAACCGAGTTCACTTGGAGAACTGCCTAGACACTCCAAACTTGTCCTTTGGACAGCGTTTTGTTAAACGACATGTTGCTAGTGCCGTTTGTGCAAAACATGCCGTTTGCATGAGCATAGAAGTATGACCACGAATAGGGTTAGAGCGGAGCAGTGTGACGCATGCATGCACTGTACCCATGGCAAGATGCTCCCTTTGTGCAGGGCTGGAGTGGAGCAGTGTGACGCAAGCGTGCACTGAACGCATCATGAGCACAACCATGTAGTTGGCCGCAAGACACTTCCTGTGTGCATGGCCAGCGTGGAACAGTGTGATGCATGCATGTGCTGATGCATGACCGCAATACACGTCAGATAAAATGTCAGAATAGATGCCCGATAATGTGTAATTGGTTTTGTGTCAATATGGGATTGGTTTTCATACACATTTGTTGAGGGCACATGTATTTATGTTCCCTTACAAATAGATCCACCTCTATTTCAATTTTGGGGATGGACATATATATAAATATAGGGGTAGGGGGAACCCTACTTTCCCACTTACCTGCCCAGTGCTCGATAGAACCATTCACAGGAAACCGCCTGCCTGGGACAGACAAGCAAATTGTAACCTATCCAAAACGACCATTTACGTTATATATGCACATGAGATGCATAATTGGACTATGTGTAGTTTCTAGGTTTACATATCTATATCTATATCTATATATATATACATATATATATATATATTCCATCATACATAAGATATACATAGATAGAGATTTCGATGTAGTAAATATTCCATCTTAATATGTTCGGTGTGTATGTAAGTACAGGTGGTATGGTATAGTGTCATTATATATGTAATTGTATAGATTCAAATATGCAGAGTTTTCTTCATCCCTGTTCCCACCACAGGGATCAGCTGCCAGGTCTGTCAGAAACCGGACGTGCGTACTTACTTACAAAAGAACTGTAGCAAATTTGGTTCGGGGATTGAATTTATTTTGATCCAAAGTTTCTGAATCTCCAAGGGATGAAAAACGCCAAACGGATCATGCAGCCGCCTTTTTTTTCCTTGCAATCCACGCTGACGGGACAGGGTGCCCGTCTCCGATTTCAGTTTTGATGTCCCTGAGTTCATTTTTTTGTTGTTTCTGAGCCAAACCAAAACGCAATTTTCATGGGTTCTTATATATACCAGACCCAAGACACAGTTTTGATGTCACCTGATTTCATGTGTAGCTGGGCCGGTAGCCAAACCAAAAGGCAAACAGTTTGTGGATCTAATTTCCTTGAACTCAGGGATATTTGCGGTTGTTGGCTCCATCTTTCTTCGCAGGCAGTTTTGCTTGGGGTGCAGCTCTGCTTTGCTAAGTAGGGGGGCCACATGTCAACGGCTCCCTCATTCAGTTGGTGCTAAAACCAGTTATTGGATGGGGGACATTGTACATTTGTTGTAAATATGAGCATGTGATGCAAAATCATTAGTTAGAGTAGCTGGACAAGGACCCCCCCAGATATCACACCGTGATTCCAACATGTATTCATTTTCAGTTCAAAGGTATTCAAAACCAAACAGAACTTCACGAACCCATGGGTTCTTCTACGTCAAACCAAAAAAAAGATGGAAAAGTTTGAGACTTGGAAGTATGAGATAAACTACCACCTGTCACATTCTGGAAATAGTTTTTACCCTTTTGGGGATTGCTATTTATAAAGAATTATAAGTTCCACATGTGTATGCTTCCCTTCATCGCTGCTCCTTGCCAATGGCCATCCAATCGAAAAATGGAGGAACTGCCGGCCGGGAATCACAGCTCACGAGATTTTCAAGTTGGCCAGCTCGCATCTTTGCTTACGATGGAAATTTGACACCTATAGTGTAGAGAGTCAAAACTTTCCCCAATCGGTGATTTGCCGGCCAACCATCAAAGACTACATGTTTGGCGCCCACTCACTGCTGCCTGAGGCCAGGAAATCGCTCCAAGAGTTTGGACCACTTTGCGCAGTGCCCCAGGGTCTGAAATCTGGGTCAATTCAATGTGGTGAAACTATGGGTGTTTACAGCTTTAAATCCAAACTCTTCAGACAACACTAGCAGTTGGAAATGTCTTGAAATCAACTGAATGGGCGTGAAATTTCAGGCCATGAGGTTGAAAGGTTGAGCGTCACAACCGTTGCGAAGACATTGTAATCCATACCCTGCATCCTTTGCCACAGCGTGCTCAGCCACCCCGAGCCGACCAGTTGTCGGCTTGTTGGTCGCCTTGTGACTCATGGCGATGGTTCCTGCGGATCAAGCAGCGCCGGTGCCGGTCCCATCCAAGTGGAGATCGGTGCGTTCAGGGCTCAAACGTGTTTCCAAAGAGGGCCGTGTACGGCATGTCGATCTGTGTTTTGGGGATTAAGATGTATTTTTTTACCTTATGGTATGTGTTGCCAAGGTCCTGGAAAAGTTGACTGGACCGAGGAGGAAGTTGCCCCCTGACTTTTTTTGGGTATCAGTTGTCCTTTATGCCAAACGGGTCTCTAGGTTTGAACCAAAGGTTGGTACACAGGGAGAAATAATTCCTCAGTAACAACCAAACTGAAGTCTTAAAGCCTTGTTCGGGGGTGCAGTTTTAATAAGCGGGTCTCTATAGTCATGGTTATGCATTGAATGGGTTATGTACCGCTTATGGGGGTAATGTCCATGATTGTTTATCACAATTTATGGGATCCTTTCTGCAAGGGCATTCGGTAGAACAATTAGGCTGACATGGCAGAAGCCATCGTTGGATCTTTGCCCATTGCAACCATCAACGTGATCATGGGTAGCACATGGACTGGTGGGCCACTTCTTGCAGTCCCCGAATCCAAGGGCATCAAGACCCCAACGGCCAAAGAGATCAGTTCCAACTATCACTTCATCAAACCGGTGGTGCAGCGCATGCCAACGAAAGCAGGGATGCGACCAAAGTGTTGTTTACCCAGATCATAATGAGTTTAACTTATTTTTTGATATGATTCCGCAGGGATTTATCACATCAACAGCATTGCCGGTTTGCCTTACGGCAAAAAACAATATCTTTCTATCCCCAAACAAGAGGTGTGTTTTACTCGCAATCCCAAATACATGTATTTTATGGGGGGGCCCATTCAGGTTCCTTCAGCTTTCATGCTCACAGACGTTTTCATGTACGCTCATGAGCATTGTCTGAAGAAGAAGCTCTTCAAAAGCGATGGAGAGTGTGTGGCAGAGCTCGCTGCCCAAGCAGGTGTTGTTCTCAAAAAACTCATCGGATCCCTACGTGCTCTTTGGAGGTCTTCCAGCCAGGGTGGACATGATACCCGAATGGCAGACTTAAAAACATATCTCTTGCCTTCTCCAACCAGGTCTGCGCACACACCAGTGCAAGCTCCTGGGCCAGAGTCCGGGAACGAAGATGCTGAGAGTGAGGGTGAGGGTTCCGAGGGTGAGGACTCCAAGAGCGAAGAGGGGCCAGCTGAGGAACCGGTGGCAATTTCCCAAGAATCTAGTGGGGATGATGGGAACAGTGATGATGATGAGGTTTCGGAGGAAGAGTCCAGCCATGGTACGCTCAGTGCACCCACTTTGACCCTCCCTGGAAAAAGCCCTTCAGACCATGGTGTTGACACTACGCAGTCAGATTGTAGCTCAGAAGTTTCTTCCCCGACCACTGAGGGAAACAACGACAGCCAGGTGTCATCAGGATGGCTTGGGAAGGCTTACATGCATGGGAACCAAGAGAAACGCAGGGAGGAAGAGAAACAGAGAGTTCTTGAAGAGGAAAAACACAAGCGGGCTGCATTTGAATTCTTGGTCAAGGAAATCAAAAACGATTTGGAGGAAGCCCTTGAAACCAAACTTGAAGGTGTCTTGTGGGATGGCTATGCTTCTTTCGCTTTCAATGCCTTTGCGGATTATGGTGAGCATGTGTATTCCCATTTGGCTTCAGTTGACACCTATCAAGATTGGGTCCGCGAGCAGAAAGCTCAGGACAGATGGAAAACTGTGCAATCTCCCACAATATTGTTGTGCAAGCTCCCACAACTGATCTTGTTTTGTAAGATTTTCTGTACCCATATCCACTTGTCAATAGCACTCTCTTGCAACTGATATTGTCTTGCAAGTTTTTCTGTACCCATATCCACTTGTCAGGTTCTTACAACTAATTGTTTTGCAAGTTGTTCTGTGCCCATATCTACTTGTCAATAGCACTCTCTAACAACTGATATTGTCTTGCAAGTTTTTTGTACCCGTATCCACTTGTCAATAGGACGTTCTTACAACTGATTGTTTTGCAAGTTTTGTGAACCAATATCCACTTGTCCATTGCACTTGGCCATCGGGTCTCCTTGCAGGATATCGGCGAAGGTGCTGCCAATTCCAAGGTGCCTCCGATCGAGCTTTTTGAGGGAGAGAGAGAGAGAGGGAGAGAGAGCTGATACATTTCAGACCAAGTAGTTTCACACAAACATTGTAAAGGACCAGTCTCATACTCTTTTTCCAAACTGTAGTCAAGAGAGAGATAGACAGCTCAAACAGGTGTACATACTAAATTTCCCTTTTCGGCCGGCCCAAGAAATGGACCCCCCCAAGTGGTGTGATTGTCCTTTAAAACCCAAGGAAAAACACCGCATTCAGGTGACTTGGTGGGGTCCATTTTCTGCAGTTTGGGATAGGCCAATCTATATAAGAGGAAAATTGCCAGGTGTACACCACAGCTATCGAAATTACAGTCAACCCACGCAGTTTCACACAATCATTACAAGGACCTGTATCATATTTTATTTCACTGTTAGAGAGAGAGAGGGAGGGAGAGAGAGAGAGAGAGACCTCAATATGTCAAAGCTATCCAAATGATGCATGGTCAGTCCACGCAGTTTGTCCAAAAGCCTTGCGACCTTTTGCCTCGGGAGGATCTCAAGCGAAAGCAGCCTTTGAACAAGGCATTGTCCATGATGAATCTTGTGGAGACCCTGGAGGAGCCGGAGAGCTCCTATAGGACACCCTCCGCCAAGAAACCTCGCCTTGCTACCGATGTTGTGCGCCAGCTTGATTTGACCCCACCTCCAGTTGTGGGCAGTCAGACAGTTCCCCATCATGTCAAAGAAACATTATGTTTGAAATAGTTTTAATTTCCACATGACTTCTGTTTGTTGGTTCTCCACCTGCCAGGTGAGGGTTGTTAGATTTTATCAGAGCTGTTCTCCTCCTCCTCCTCCGCCTCCGCCTCCTCCTCCTCACCTCCTCCTCCTCCTCCGCCTCCTCCTCGCAGTCCAGATCCCAGTGGGCACTGCCGGACCTCAACTGCGACGAAGTGGGCACTGCCGGACCTCAACCGCGAGCTCCAGATCCCAGTGGGCACTGCCGGACCTCAACCGCGAGCCCCAGATCCCAGTGGGCACTGCCGGACCTCAACCGCGACTTCCAGATCGCAGTGGGCACTGCCGGACCTCAACGGGAAGAAAAGATGTCAGATAGAATGTCAGAAGATATGCCAGACAGAATGTCAGAAGATATGCCAGAAAGAATGTCAGAAGATATGTCAGATAGAATGTCAGAAGATATGCAAGATAGAATGCCAGAAAAAATGTCAGAAGATATGCCAGAAAAAATGTCAGATAGAATGCCAGAAGATATGCCAGATAGAATGCCAGAAGATTTGCCAGATAGAATGCCAGAAGATATGCCAGAAGATATGCTAGAACATATGCCAGAAGATATGCCAGATAGAATGCCAGATAGAATGCCAGAAGATATGTCAGATAGAATGCCAGAAGATTTGCCAGTAAGAAAATGTATAAATGTCATGGTGGGCATCATTCGAAGTGAAGTAATTTATTTTTGTTTCGGATGTTCAAGCTAGTCTGCAGCCCTGTCGTATTTAAGGCAATCAAGATGAGCGCAGCGAAGAAGCAGGACTTTGATGCCAAGAACGCCGGACAGGGTGCAGTTGAGGGTGCAGTCATGACTAAATTTGGCGAATACGACCTAGTCGCCTTGGAGATCCCCATCATGGCACGTCCACGAGTTGGTGGAAATCACACTGGGAAGCATGGTTACACAATCCGGTCTTCCACAGCAGTGCCCAGATTCAAGCCAGTCTACATTGTCTACATATAATGTTTTCTTCTATCAACATCTATCAACCATCATTCCTTTTTGTGTACAGTGGCAAGAACAATGCAGGAGTTTGTACATTTTAACAAGAAGATAAACATCAGATCGTTTACGAGCCATGGTTGATGTTTGGGAATCTTCCTCAATTCAATCAAACCCCAAGAAACAGAAATCCCGATATGGAAAATGAATTACCAAATGCATTTGAAGTTCTGGTTACCATCACACTTTGACATCCCTGCTCGGCTTGGTGGCTTAGCCTCTGCTCAGGCCATCGAAGTTCTTCTGAAGTGCAGAGCCTTTGTCGTCAAACGCAGCGCTGCTGATCAGGGTGTGAAGGGCCAAATCACATGGGCCAAAGTTGGTGGGGTCGAAAAGGCATGGGCCATGGCAGTGGAGCGCGCTGGCTTCCAATAGGGGAGGACCAAATATCGATGAACGAGTTTTCTTATGAAGTTCAAAGGGCAAACTTTGGGTTTCACACTGTTCGTTTTCTCTTAGGAAGCGTGAGAATACGTTTTGTGTGTGTGTGGGATGCCACGCATGTGACACACATGCTATGTGGCTGCCGTTAGCTCTTTTTAGCCATGTGATCTTGAAGCCAAGGCAAAGGGAAGGAAAAAAGAGCGTCTGGGTTATTGAAAACAGGATGCCATATTCATTTATCACTTCGAACTTGAGGAAAATCTTGAGATCAAAGGGAAGTGTCTGAGTTCTTGAAATCTGGATGTCATGTTCATGCTTCGTCATCTCATATTCAAGATTCTGTAGAACCAGGCTTGAGGTTTAGGATCTTATCTGAACTCTTCTCACACACCTTTGAACTTACTTTTTGAATCCACCTGAACCCAAGTGTGAACAGCGAGGAAAGATCCATTGTGCCACACGCTCCAGGTACCATGGTAACCATGTGTGCGGTGCGCTACAACACAAAGGACCGAGCTGGGTTGTGTGGGTGGCCTATGGTCTAAGTGGAAATTCACACATATTTTACTTATTCAAATGCCGTGCCCAGTAGTTGGTGGTGGCTAGATTTTTGGCTCACCCCTGAACTGCTGCTGCAAAACATAGTGTGCCATGGGGAAAAGGTGTGCTGAGAAACAGAAGAAGAAGTCCGTAGTAGCAGCCCTGAGGAAGGAGATGCCTTTTCAGCCGAAAGGTAGTGATGTGGGCTCCCCCCCTCGCAATTACAAGGCCAAGCAGCGTTCTTGGATCCTCTCAGGGTTGAAGCACATTCGTGCGCCAATTGCATCTTGACCTCAAAACGCAATCTTCGTGCCACATGCAGGGTCTTGGGAATGAACCCTCAAACAATCCTGGTTTTAGTGTTTTAGCGTTAAAAAGGGCATGGTGTGACAACAATTGTTGGATAGAGTTTTGGGACTGACCTATTTGACAATTTTCAATGTTGGGTGACCCTTCCAAATTGGAAACCACAAGTTGCGATATGCCAGCCCAAAAACCAGGAAACTTCACAGACTTTTGGGGTTTAAAGATGTAGCCAAATGATATACATTATACACCCACGCATTGGTTTGCTTGAGGCTATTGCGACTCTTGTCTCCCTGCTCTTTGCCGTGCCGAATCTTGAGTTCAAGCCGCTGGAGCATCTTGAATGCTTCAGTTGCAAAATGGCAGTCACAAAGGCGGAATGGGCAGCAGCTTGGTGTGCAGTTGCCATTTGGTCCCAAGAAGTCGCAAAAGATAATGAAGGTGTTTGGTTGTCCTTGAACTCAATTCAAGGTTATCAATCCATAACCCATCCAGTGTTAAGAATTTGGTGATCCATCAACTTGGGACATACATGTAAAGTATCGTATAGATCCCTGAGGCATAGGGATGAAACCCGTGTGTTTGCCTCAACCCCCGAATCCGTAGAAAGTGCATTGCAAGTATTCGATATCTTTTCGGTAACCCAGCACGCATGTACGAAGCATCCACATCTCACTATTGCGTTTCTAGTCTGGTAAGTTCCCTCACCATAATAAACATGGTCAGTGTGTTTGTTTCATGTCCTAGGCTGGAAGGAGCGCTATGCCCTTCGACCTGGAAACCGACCCAGAGAGAATGGATTTGATGTCTCCCATGGGTTTCGCCAATGCCCTCTACTATGCTTGTTCACTGGAACCCGGCTCAGGGCACCTTTCAGCACCAGTATGTTCTTCGTGGGTGTTCATGATCTTTGGATTTCACTTCAGATTGGTAACGCTTATGTTTGACATGTAGGCTATTGGCAACAGCTTTAAAGAATGTTTCGACATACATTTCAGTGTTGTTAATGGTTTGGTGATTCTGGTCCCTTAAGGAGTCGAGGAAGCACACTCCGATCTCGTGCCCGGCCACTGGGTCGCCGGGACGCTCCAAGTGTGTGGACTGGCAACGTCCTTGCTGTGAGAGCATTTGTTTTGCTACTAATTTGCTCGGCGAAAGCCGTATGGTGGATGTTAGAACAGCCTGGTTCAAGCCTCCTGGAATTTCATCCACTTTTTCAGCAAGTGGTTCGAATGGTTGGATCAAGGAGATTGTCGATAAACATGAGCGATTATGGAGCTCCCACCAAGAAAAGGACTCTACTATATTCAAGCCGTTCAGTCGCATTCCTGTGATTTTCATGTCGTATGGACCATGTCTTATACGGACCAAAAGGAAACCCCAGAAAAAAAGTAGCTCTGGATAGCTCTGGTATTGCTTTGGGTTTGTGGATGCTTTATTTATCACAAAGGTAGCCCATATGGATTTGATTGTGTATTTCCCCGAGCATATAGGCCACAGTCAAAAAAAACTGCTTATTCCACTTTTCTATCGGGAATCCTTATGGGTCATTATTATTGGATTGAACCACCCATAGAGTAATGATTGTTTGGGCGAGCCAAAAAATCAAAATCCATTTACATTGATATATCTTGAGAGGGGGGCTTATGGCCTACAAGTGCTCTGGGTGCAACAATCTTTTCTAAAAATTGGAAGCGCTTCGGAATGTGACCAAAGACATCTTTTCAGCGAGCCCCCAAGAAATACACTCACCAGATTCTATCCCTGAAATCAGGCCTTCTTCGGTGCTTTCTGAGGTCACAGTGCAGTAGACCACCTATCGGAGTTTCAGGTGGAGCCGCGCTTGGAAAAAAGGCAGATGGTGGTTCACTACACGGATTCCTCGGGGAAAAGTCGAGTCCAAGGTGGGCGAGATCTTAAATCACCCCAAGAGTATCCAAAAGAGTTTCTTGGAGTAAGTAGTTTGTTCTCAACAACAAAATGGTTTCTGTCCAACGGGTTGTGACCTTTAGGATCCAAGTATGTGTGAAAAAATGTTCCCAAATACATCTTCAAACAATACCACATTTTAGACATTAGAATGCTCTTAGTGTTTGGGGAACCCTCCAAGCATGGAGCAAGGGAATTCCAGATTCCAGTTACGGTGCAAGGGAATCCTAATCTTGGCTGAAAGCATATGAGCTCAGGTGGTTTCAATAGCGCCTCATTTCTTTACTTCAAGTGGTCCCCACTTCTTCATTATTTCGAGTGATCCCCATCCACACTTTTGATTTCCTTCGAGTGATCCCCAGTTGGGGGGTGCCAAACTAGGTGCATGGTGAGAATTAACAGGATTTGTCAAATACCGAATGTACCAACTCATGGGGTTAGCTGTATCAATTTTCTTGTTTGGACTTCAGGGGGTGCGTTTGGAAGCCCCAAACCAACAGGAAATTTACAAGTTAGCTGTCTTCATCGACCGCAAGCTCAGGTTCGGAGTTGCAGTCTCAAAGTGCCGAACTAAGTTCTTGAAAAGACATCGGCGTGCAGCCAAACAGTTTTTGCGCCGGGCACGCAAAACCCCCAACGACTATGATCGAAGGTCAAAGATCAACCGATCTTGGGTGAACAGTGCCAACTTGCAGCCTGTGATTGATTTCCTATCTGGGAAGTGAAAGATCATCAGGCCAAATCCAAAAACATTTTGGACCAATTTACAAACTCATGTGCGCCACACTTGATGTGTGGTCATGGCTTTTGCCCTTTTAGCTGAAAGTGACAGTGGGCTTCGTACAGTTGATGGGGGTTAGATATCGCGGCAATCAATCAAGGTGTGCTGCCAATCAAATAAAATGAAAACATTCTGATGTCGGGTATACCACGTCCATCAAAGAGGCCATTCTCATACTGATGTGCGTGGTTGCATACTTTGGTTGCTGGTTGCCTTACCTGCTTGCAATCGGGAAAAAAGCATCTGATTCGGTGATGAACAGCCACCTATGGTATACCCTTGGTAGTGGACATTATGTCATACAGGACCCCAACAGACCTACATTCTATTCTTTGCATCCCCTTTCCCAAGACCACCATGGCTCTGTTTGGCCAAATCCAACTGCAGGACTATGCCTCGCCTGTCTTTGAAGCGACCATTTGGTGCAACTGGCCTGTCATTCGGGAAGGCTGGGCAGGTATTGGCAGGGCCAACAGCACAGGATTCTTTCTCAATGCAGGAATCATTCTTTTCAGAGAAAAAATCTTTTTTTTCCAAAAAAAACTCACAAAAAAAACGCGCGCTTTGCAGCGAAAAACGCGCGCTTTGTAGCGAATACATGCGCTTTGTAGGAATGTGACATTTTCTCAGAAATTGAACCTTTGAGAGAATAGGGTCAGGTCAATTCCGGTCCATGGTCCATATTTTCCACTCAGGATTTTAGGGGCTCAAGGGCCGACTTCTTTTTTCCTATGGGTGTACCACGAACACCCCCACGGAAGCGTTACTGGGGCAAGTCTTCCCAGTCACCGATGAAAAAGAAAGGAGGCAGCACAAAAAGGCCATCGGCTCTTCGGAAGCCAGCGGTACCCGAAGGGGTTGCAGCCAAGCTTCACGAGTTTGTCAAGAGCAAAAAAACGAAGCAAGAGGCAAAGATGAAGAAGGAGACACGCAAGGAGACGTCCAAGGAGAGGCAGAAGAAGGAGAAGAAAGAGAAGAAGGAAGAAGGAAAAGGCGGTGGGAAGCAAGCCAGAAGAGCCACAGAAGAGAGAGAAATCTACGAAGGTTGAAGCGTTGAAAGAAAACAAGCTGAAGGAGAAGAAGAAGCCCAGGGATGAAAAGAAGGAGGAGGAGAAAGCAGCCAATAGCGAGAAGAAGGAGAACGAGAAAAATGAGAAGAAGGAGAAAAATGAGAAGAAGGAGAAAAATGAGAAGAAGGAGAAAAATGAGAAGAAGGAGAAAAATGAGAAGAAGGAGAAAATTGAGAAGAAGGAGAAAAATGAGAAGAAGGACGAGAGCCAGATGGACAAGAAGCGAGACCCAAGCAAAGGAACAGATAAGGATGCGTCCAGGAAGACCAAGGTACCAGAGAAAGGAGAGAAGGAAACAGGTGCCAGGGAAGTAGAGAATGGCAAGAAGAAAGGTGCTGAAGATGTTAAGAAGAAGGATCAGAAGGTAGAAGACAAGAAGCCAGGAGGTAAGGACAACAAGAGTGGAGGAAAGGAGCCGGAGAATGACAAGGATACCAAGGAAGAACAGAAGGGTAAGAAGAAAGAGGAGAAGATTCAGTACGTACCCTGCAAGAAGCAGAAAATCAACCACATGTTCGAGTCACCTGTGACACCTCCTCCGACCAGGAAGAACCTGTCTCCTGAACCGTCCGTCGACTCCAGGTCGTTGTCAGCAAAAGAGAAAGCTGAGGCCCAGTTGAAATCCCTCCAGGAAATTCTCGAGGCTTCGGATGGCGACAGTTGCAGCTCCCTTGAGCTGACTTGGAGAACCTTCCTAACACCTTGGGAAAGGAAGCTGGGAAGAGTGGTGAAAAGGATGATGAGGAGGATGATAGTGAAGAAGAGGATGAAGAACTAGAAGCAGATGAAGCAGACAAAGCAGGAGAAGAAGAAGAAGATCATGATTCCCAAGCGGGTGACAATGATTCCAGTGAGTCAAGCACAGACATCTCTGAGGACGCAGCCACAGAGTCAGAGAAGGAGGAAAGCGACGAAGACGAAGACCAAGAAGAAGAAGAAGAGGAAGAGTCAGAGGAAGATACTGCTGGCCCTGCCCACGACGAGGAAAAAGATGGAGACAAGATGGCACAGGCTACCCCTGCTGACCCCAACCAGCATGCGCTGGTTCCAGTAGTTCAAGGCACAGACACCGCGGTGTCCACTTTGAAGAACTCAGCAAGCAACAAAAGAGAGTGGGACACATACATGAGACAGTTGAAGGCCCAGACAAAGGTACCAGTCACAGTATCAGAGTACTGCACGTCCCATGCAAACCGAGTGGACATGTTCAACATGTGGTTGAGCTCAGACAAGGATTGGTCAAAGTGCGAGTTGCTACTGGAGCGAAAAATGGAGAAGAAGAATGAGGGAACAAAGGGGTGGCAGGCCATCCAAAGTCGTGTCCTGGCAGAAAAGTATCCAGAGGAAAAATGGCTCAAGATAAAAGAGTCACGAAAGGCCTCTGGGTTGTGGTACCCAGACGATGATTTTCCAGACTGCGAGCTCGAACCATGGTCTGAGCTTAAAAAAACTTTGGTCGTTTGCACTCCAAAATTATTCGTTGGTGTTTGAAAAGTTTGTTGCTGCACTCTCTTTTTTATTTGCCCAACACATCAGCGATCTCAGGAAGCATGGTACTACATGCGTATAGGAACAACATACAAAGAAAAGGAGTCCACCAGTGAGTCTTTGGCTTTGAAAGGAAGGATGGAATGCGACCAAGCCCTCCGGCAATCGCTCACCGACCCTGAAGAAGGTATGTTGCGGCCTGGTGCTCTTCCGAAGATTTCCACAGCGAGCGCTTCTGGAAACAAGGCCATCCTGGACAGCTTGGGCAAGGTGGGGAACTGGGGTTTGGGTTGGGCTGGACAGCATCAAAAATCGGGAACATAAAGTGGGATGCAACATAAAGTGGGATGCACACAAGATTGGGGGCACAAGAAATCGTAGGGAACCATGATTTCCTAACTCAAAGACCGTTACCCACAACCCTTATTCTTATTCAAAGCCAGCCAAGCATGAAGTTCCATATGGTTATCTAAAACATGATATCTTCTATACACAACAAAAGGGTGTGTGTATATATATATATATCAATAAAATATCATCGTGTATGTCATACATCAAGATATATATATATATATGTTTGTATATATATATATATCTATCTATTTGTCTTCATTTACTAGTATATGTTGTACGTCATGAGATATGTCAGTCTATGTATTATACACACATCATTCAATATATCATGATGTGTATATATATATAGATATATTTACGATACTTATGTAACTATTTATATGTGTATAAATTAAAAATTAGATACCATAAATAAATGAATAAATAAATAAACAAATAATATATATTTATATGTGTGTGGAACTGCTGATCCCCCACTGCCACTTCACCAGGTGGCGGCGGTTCCAAAAGCAAAAGCAAAGAAAGAGGAGTCTCAGGAAGTGCAACCCCAAACATGGGAAGAGAAAGCGACTGAAACCCTGGGCCAGTTGCTGTCTGCAGCTGCCAAGGCCAGGACCCTTTCCATCAAGTTGGGAAATTTGGAGTATGCAGCAGAATTGAGCAAGCAACTCCTGAGCCATGCTTCACTTCTTGAAGACTTCTACAAAGAGCTGCAAGCAGCTTTGGAAAAGAAGGAAGGAGACAAGATCTTACGAAAAATCCTGGACCGCATCCAGGAAACAATGAATGCCTGTGACAAAGCTGAGGCCAGGTTTCTGTCGGATTGTGTCTAGAGATGTTTCACATGTCATTGATACCTCAAAGGAAATCAACACCATTAGGATCAAAGCAAGGGTGGTCTCTAAAAGAAAACGTTTTCCACTGTCCTATTTGTTTGGGGGTTCCTTAAGTGTCCAAGCAGCAAACTTTCTGGGCCGGTGATGTTTTCCACCAAGATCAGCGACCCGGCTGGACCCCAAACAGCTCCTCCTGCTACGAGGCTGCCGCTGATGCCTTTCTGAAGGTGCCTGGGAAGAGGAAGAAGGGTAAAGGTCCTAGCGCTACGTCGAAGCCTAAAACGAAGAAGACCTGAAGCTTCGCCGAGTGTGAACCGTGGGATTCATAGGTCACAAGATCTATGGTTTTGATGGGGTCTGGAGGACAAGTGCAGATCACTTGCCAGCTTTCGACTGTGCGTTTCAGTTTCTTCTTAGAGCACCAAGCCTCCTACCAATTCTCCTTCAAACACGAACTGTCCAATGTAAACATTCAATTATTGAGTCTTATATTCAATCATGTGCTTTTTGATTGGGAGGTTTATATTCAATCATGTGCTTTTTGATTGGGAGGTTTGGCTGTCCGAAGGTGCTGTAGATGGTGCTTTAGATGTTACACAAAGAGTAGAAGATGCGAATGCCCGCTGAATCTGAGGCTAGGAAAAACTGGTTCCCGACCTTGAGACCCTGAAATTAGATCACATAAGTTTTACTTTACCCCAAAGGTTCCAACTTACAAATCCCTGATCTAAAGAAGTTCAACCTTTGATTCCTTTGGTTCCAACTAAACCCAGTGGTCTTCCGACTGATGTGCCAGGTGCCCGAGCAGTACATCAATCGTCCAGGCTGCAAGGGATCCTCAGCCGGGGGTGCAAGAGCATTTTTTCAGGGGAAACACCATATACTTCATTGAACAGATGTGGATCATTCACCCCAAAGTTTGAAATGCAATGCAATATGAATCTTGAAACCTCCTTGAACGAAATCAAATGACATTTAGCCAGCCATACTTTCAAATCTGTTTTTGGCATGATATGGCGACCTTTTGCAAAAAGTTATTGGGTGGATGTCTATTGAAAGATGGGGCTATGCACTGCAGGAAGCGCCGACGACTGGAGCATTATTGTGAATCTCGCACTGTGAACAAATTGACCGAGCTCGTTGGGAGAGGAAAACTGAATATCTCGGTTGCTTCAGAAATCGCAGTTTCCTGTGTGCCTGGTTGGAACTCAACAATATCAATTTTGATCTCGAGCTTTCCTCAAATCTAATGTTGAGAAATGGAATTTGAATACAGGTATCTATATATAAACGACTAGTTGATGAATCAATGCTTCACATTTAGATATTTGGCACAAAGGTTCTTGACCGATCCCCGAAGCTCTTCCTTGCCCACATGTTAGCGGGCTGAGGTTGCCGACCATGAGTTACCTCACCAAGCCTTGAAGGCTTTTGCGAGCCTTGGGGCAGATGGCAAACGTGGAGCCAATTGTGAACGGGACTTGCACCGTTGGCTGAAAGGTCTGTGGGGCGTAGAGCTGCAGACCTACACCCTCAAAGTTCCATTGCAGGCTGTTCACAAAGTGTTGTTTTTTTTACAGGAAACAAATCTTATGGAGGGTAAATGTAAATGTACAATCATGGAAGATCATAGGCCCCTGAACCCTGAAGGTGGATTCATCAAAAAAACGAAGGAGACCACTATCCATGTGCTATTGCCGCATGAGCTTCTGCACTGCTTCTGGCAAGCAGCAACCCCATTTGTGTTTTCATCCGTCATGTTGGGGAACTTGAACAGCTCAGCCCGAACAAGTTTCTTTGAACACCTCAAGTCCTTGGGCCCATAGAAAAACCATCCTGTGTTGAATGCTCAGCGTGACTTCAGCAAACTTATTCCGATTACCATCCATGGAGATGGAGCTCAATTTTACCGGGAAGATGAATTTTTTTGTTGGTCCTGGGCATCTGCATTTGGTTTTAAAGGGCTTATCAAAGACCCCATGCTCTTTAAATACCCTATCTGCATCATCCCGGAACGATGCATGCGAGAGAGATCGGAACTTAGGCTGAGCTTTGAATGCACATTTTCTTTGCACCCTTAGTAACTTTATCTTTACTTATTGGGAAAACTTTACATGTAGTCCCATCCAGTCCTTCTGGTTTCTGGTGTAGGTACGGTCCAACATCAACAAGGTGATCGCCGAGGTTACAGCGTGGTCCATGCGGGTTTGTGCTTCAGGAATGTTTCCCACTACTGGGTTCAACGGGGAGCAGTTCGAGAAGAACACTTATCGATACAAACTGCAGGGAAAACCTATAGCTGGGGAGTGGGTGATCTTTGGTCGAAATATAGTTGTTGTTGAAGCTTTCAATGATACCCCCAAAAAAGTTGTGGAATCGATTTTATCTCATGTGGTTTTTGATGACGCGGAAACTCAGGGGATGCTACATGAGTATGAAAGCCGACTTGAAAGCCCGCAAACAGCTGAATGAGTTTCAACGCAATTACCAGTGCAATTTGCCCCTTGGAGACTCCAAAACCAGCAAAATTTATGTTTCAAGAGTTTGCCCTGTGTCCCATGAATTTCTTTTATCAAATCATATCCAATTACTTCACTTCGAATGACATTTATACATTTTCTTACTGGCAAATCTTCTGGCATTCTATCTGACATATCTTCTGGCATTCTATCTGGCATATCTTCTGGCATATGTTCTGGCATATCTTCTGGCAAATCTTCTGGCATTCTATCTGGCAAATCTTCTGGCATTCTATCTGGCATATCTTCTGGCATTCTTCTGACATTCTATCTGGCATATCTTCTGACATTTTTTCTGGCATTCTATCTGGCATATCTTCTGACATTCTATCTGACATATCTTCTGACATTCTTTCTGGCATATCTTCTGACATTCTGTCTGGCATATCTTCTGACATTCTTTCTGACATTCTTTCTGCATGGCATTCTATCTGGCATATCTTCTGACATTCTATCTGACATCTTTTCTTCCCGTTGAGGTCCGGCAGTGCCCACTGCGATCTGGAAGTCGCGGTTGAGGTCCGGCAGTGCTCACTGGGATCTGGAGCTCGCGGTTGAGGTCCAGCAGTGCTCACTGGGATCTGGAGCTCGCGGTTGAGGTCCGGCAGTGCTCACTTCGACCTGGAAGTCGCGGTTGAGGTCCGGCAGTGCCCACTGCGATCTGGAAGTCGCGGTTGAGGTCCGGCAGTGCCCACTGGGATCTGGAGCTTGTGGTGGAGGTCCGGCTGTGCCCACTGGGATCTGGACTGCGAGGAGGAGGCGGAGGAGGAGGAGGTGAGGAGGAGGCGGAGGCGGAGGAGGAGGAGGAGAACAGCTCTGATAAAATCTAACAACCCTCACCTGGCAGGTGGGGAAAAATCAGCTCTACCCAGCCCACTTCTGACCGTTCAGGTGTTGTGACAGATGCTTGGCCCAAACTGGTAAGGGGTCCACAGAACCAATGGATTACCGAAACCTGGGTGCCTCCAAAGCTTGGGATCTCACGCTGCTTTCTCACGAGCAGTACGTAGCCCTGGATGCGTCATCGTTGAGCCCATGGATGAGCATGCCGGGCTTTACGTTCGAAACCGTATCATTCGATTGGATGCATAATATCTATTTGGGTACTGGGCGTGACCTGTTTGCCAGTGGTCTCAAAACATTGGTGGAAAGGGGTGTCTACGACTATACTGGTCTCACTGACACAGATGACCTTTTGTTTCATGCTGAGGGACGCATGCGGGCAGCATGTTCTGAGCACAAGTTGCTAATCTACAAATGGGGTTTTGTTCAAATGATGGCTTTCTTCACATGTTTTTTTTTCACATGGTGTTTCTAAATGGTGGTGTATAAAACCGGTGGTTTCTCCACATGGGCATTCTTACATTATGGTTTCATCAAATGGGAGTTAATTAAAATTGTCTATTTGGGGATGAAAAGGGGTCGCCCATTTCAAGAAACAACCACATGTATGTATCATCTATGCCTCGACATGGTCCTTGCAAAATTTAGGGGCATGATCAATTTTCTTTGGTAGTCGCTTTAAATCGGAAACAACGAACCCACAAAAATTGGCTTCAACAACGGACGAGGTTGTTCTTTCCCGGCAAGCCCAGCATCAACTCACATACCTTGGGAGGAGATGACGACTATTGTGAACTGTCATCTCGATTTAAAGCAGCTCACGTAAAGGTACTTCTGTGGTGGCTGGCTCTTGAGACACAATTTTGGGCCGACCGAAACCCAAACGATTCTTGAATCATGCAAGAAGAAAAGATGTTTTGAGTTTTGAGAAGAGCCGTATTTTTGAGAGTTCAATATAAGTATGTTTATGCCAAAATAGTTGTACATGAAAATGTCATGCGGGGAAAATATGTAAAACCATTTTTTCTGTGTTTTGTTGATCCCACATTCCCACAAGGATGCTGTGCTACAAGTCTTGGGGGCTTGTTGCTACTTCCTTCAGAGAACCACCGAGATTTTTGATTCCAGTGGCCTTGTCCTGACTCCCGATCAGGCCAGCGAAGCGTCCCAGTGCCTGGCGGATCATTTAGTCTGCTACGGGTGGCTTGCTGCTCGAGACTACGACCGCCGGGTCATGAGATTCAAGATCAGGGTGAAGTGTCACTACCTTTGGCATGTGTCTTGGGAAATTTCCAAATACAAACTGAACCAAAATTTGTTCCATACTTTTCAGGAGGAATCATATTTAGGTAAAATCAAGGCTGTTGCCACTAAGTGCCATGGCCGGACTTGCACTGGAAGAATATTCCAACGACTTTTCCTTTGTTTTGCCATTTTTTTACATGAGAATGGCAAGGCTGACAATGACCACTTGGCTTGAGGAACCCTGATTGTTTTTAATGACATCCTGTCTTTCACAAACATGAAAAACACTGTTTGCCCCAAACTGTAGTAAAGTTGGGTCCCTCATCCCTGTGGGTCGGGGTTTGGCAAAAGTCACCAATGTGACAACTTTGCGACTTGGAGCCTTCAAGGCATTGAAGCAGCCATGGTCCATGGCAAAAGTTCAGCTGCAAACGTGTGATCCATGGATGCCTGTGAGGGGTTTACACCCCCCAAGCAAAATTCAATCTTGACGTATATTGCTGTTCTATTTTTTCGGGGTTTCCATCGGTCTGTTGTATAAGGGCTACCATTTTGACTGGTTTTACCTTTTGGGGCCCACCATCTTCTTGGTGATGTTCTGGGAGGTTGTGTTACCAGAAAACGAAGTAGTGTAATTGGCCCACAAACTTTGGATGGGAAAGTGACACCTTAAGAATTTTGTTGTGGCAACAAGTGCATGTTAGACTGGGATGTTGATTGTGAGCACTGCCGCTTTCCAAGCGATGAAAAAACTAAACGCATTTCAAACACATAAACGCTGTCAAGTTGGAAAGAGGTGTCCACTCAAGGGCAACCCAAAAACTGACGTGTACAATAGAACGAAAAAAATATGTTTGCAGATAGTGCAACCCAAAGACTTGTAAGGGCCCTTCATACCCAGCCCCTGAAGGTCCAAAACTTTTTCACCCTCGCCTGGTTTTCAATTTAAAGACTAGTTTTTGTGTGGGGTCCTTGTTTTCTGTCTTTTTTTTCCTTGAGCACGCAAGCACAAGCTCTAAAGACACCATGTGTGATGATGTAGCTTGCGCCTGGGACACCATGTTGGCAGAAGAAGCTGCTGACTGCAGTTTCATGCATCAGCACTGTACCATTTCCTTGTACAGAGTACAGAGACGCGGCCTGACTGCGTGCAAATGGCATTGTGCAGGATGATGTCGCTTGCGCCTGACCAGCTGCAGTCAAGCCAAAAAAGTTTTTGCTGACCACAGCGCAGAGCTTCCCCATGATGCATTCCTTTTGCCTTTGCGCAGTTCATTGGTAGCGGAGAAACTTAAAGGAAAAGAAGTTAGGGTCACTGTCAACACTGATGCTGACATTCCCACAGTTTTGAGAGCTTGCAACCACAAGATGCTTAAAGGGTTTACAACGACAAGATGTTTAGGGTTTACAACGACAAGATGTTTAGGGTTCACAGCGACAAGATGTTTAGGGTTTACGACGACATGATTTTTAGGGTTTACAACGACATGATTTTTAGGGTTTACAACGACAAGATTGTTAGGGTTTACAGCGACAAGATGTTTAGGGTTTACAACGACAAGGTGTTTAGGGTTTACAACGACAAGATGTTTAGGGCTTAGGGTTTACAACAACAACATGTTTAGTGTTGTTTAAGGTCTAGAATTACAATATATTTACGGTTTACAACGACAAGATGTTTAGGGTTTACAACGACAGGATGTTTAGGGTTTACGACGACAAGATTTTTAGGGTTTACAACGACAAGATTGTTAGGGTTTACAACGACAAGATGTTTAGGGTTTACAACGACAAGATGTTTAGGGTTTACAACGACAAGATGTTTAGGGTTTACAACGACAAGATGTTTATTAAACCCTAAACATCTTGCCGTTGTAGGCCGTAAACATCTTGTCGCTGTGAACCCTAAACACCTTGTCGTTGTAAACCCTAAACATCCTGTCGTTGTAAACCCTAAGCATCTTGTCGTTGTAAACCCTAAATATCTTGTCGTTGTAAACCCTAAAAATCTTGTCGTTGTAAACCCTAAACATCCGTCGTTGTAAACCCTAAACATCTTGTCGTTGTAAACCCTAAACATCCGTCGTTGTAAACCCTAAACATCTTGTCGTTGTAAACCCTAAACATCTTGTCGTTGTAAACCCTAAAAATCTTGTCGTTATAAACCCTAAACATCCTGTCGTTGTAAACCCTAAACATCTTGTCGTTGTAAACCCTAAAAATCTTGTCGTTGTAAACCCTAAACATCTTGTCGTTGTAAACCCTAAACATCTTGTCGTTGTAAACCCTAAAAATCTTGTCGTTATAAACCCTAAACATCCTTTCGTTGTAAACCCTAAACATCTTGTCGTTGTAAACCCTAAAAATCTTGTCGTTGTAAACCCTAAAAATCTTGTCGTTGTAAACCCTAAAAGTCCTGTCGCTGTAAATCCTAAACATCTTGTCGTTGTAAACCCTAAAAATCTTGTCGTTGCTTCCTAAACATCTTATCGCTATAACCGCTTCAATCTAAACAACGCAAATAAGACAAGGTAAGAGTAAGACCAATGGAAAATGATTAATTGCTTAGAAAGGATGTAACAAAAGAGCTTCCAAATACAAAACATATGATGTATCATCTTCTCTCGCAAACGACATGATTGATGCAAACGGCAACGTTTTTTCTGAAAACTTGTCGTTTGTCTCGAAACTTGTCCTTTTGGCGACGTTGGAGTCTCTAGGTGGGAGAAGACCTACAGCTACTACTTCAACAAGGCCTTGCGACACCACATTGGTCGAGAAGAAGTGTGGGAGAGGGTCAAAGGCGGAAAGAAGACAATATTTTCCGGACTCAAATGTGACGAAGCCGGATGGGTGGACATTATGGATTTCCTGCATCACCCTTGGATCTTCGATCACGAGAACGTTCGTACTGAGGACGATGGACTTATCGGCGTTGACTTCCGAGAAGAACGTGTCAACACCATGATCAAAACTGTTTGGTCAGAATTCCAAGAGAAAAACAAGGTCCGCATCCAGTTCCTATGCATTGTCCTGGATTCCACCTTCGACAAACCCGACGACTATCTCAGGAACGTCATGAAGGTCGGCGATGACATTCACGATCTCATCGCCCGACGTGGGGAAGTCTTTCTTGCGCCCATTGCTGTGCGCTCACCTGGAGGATATTCAGCCCGGGGAAATGGCTTTCGCCTTGATTACGGCAGGATTTGTCACCCGATGACAACCAGAATTGCAGATGACCTATACTTCTGTTATCACGTGACCGAGTTCAAGAATGTGATTGGCATCATCAAGGAAGGTCTACGACCAGGTGGTCACAGAGGAGGACGAACGCAAGTGTTCCTCAACCCATTTGTGCCATGGGACAAACGATACAAGGACATCCTGGGGGGACAACTGACACACCTCGGGCAGCCACGTATGGTCCTGGCATTCAGCGTGCATCGACTCATGAGTCTTGGAATCATGATCAATGCATCTGGACAGATGGTGATTAATGGGAACATTCCATTCTCCGAAGTGATCGCAGCATGGTATCAGGCCAACACCTATGAATGGGAACGACTACTCGTCGATTCCGGCAAGTTCCAATTGGTGAGATCATGTCAAGAACCAAAGGAGATCGCAACAGCTAACACAGTCTTGCGTGTCTCCAAGGCAATGCTGAACGAAATCGACATCGAGGACAACATTCCGTTCTACGACCAGTTCGTCAAGGACATTGAAAAGCTCGAGAAAGCCAACGGAGTGTTGAGTCCCGGTAGCGAGCTGAGGAACAGCATTGTGACGTTCATCTCCGAGAACTACACCCCGAGAGAAGCTGGACATTTGATCTGTCCTGCATGTCTCACTGAGACTCCGAATACTCTATCCATTTGCATCAGATGCCATGGTTCATTGGTCAGCTGGGGGGAAAAGGCAGTGAAACAAGATGAGAGCACCGCCCCAGGCATGCCAGAACGAGAACGTCAAGAAAGCGGAGATGGCACTGACGACAACGAGGAGGATGTCGAGATGGAGAACGAGGACCAGGATGAAATTGATCGACTGGTCAGGGAGTCAAAGAGAACACCAGGGGATGCATCCGATGATGACGTCGACATGACGGACACGAAGCCGAGCAGAACGCAAAGGAGATCTGGAAGCGACCGAGAACGTACAGCACCAGACCACAAGGTGGCGTTCGGCAGCAACACCAAGGAACAGCAGGAGGAAGAGGACGAGCGAGTTGCCCAAGAACAAGAACATGACGAAGAGCAAAGAGAAGCCAGGATCAAATTACTACTATGGACAGCGAGAACGATCCAGGCATCTATCATTCAATGTATCGACATTGCTCAGAACGAGGATGCAATTGACAGCACTGCAAGAGCAGTAGACGGGATGATCCTCACGTACCTGAAAGATCGATACAAGCTCTACAACGTCTGGACATCAATGGCACCTGCGCAGCAGTACTATGACCACGTCAAGAAGATGAAACTTCTGCCAGAGTACGACGGGTACATCCCCTACGTTGGTGAAGATGCCAACGGCGAACTGAAAGAGCCCACAAAGGAACAACTGGAGGAGTCGTTCCACGCCAACGCCAAGAATGGTAAAGTTGGTGGCAGGGAGCTGGAAGTTTACATGACAGGGGTGAACGGCATCAAGGTTCTTTGCAGAATCATGAAGTACCTCGTCCAGACTGGAGTGACACCACAGCTGATCTACTCCAAGATTGCCGATGTCATTGACGATGATGAAGAACGTCAACAAGAAATCCGACGGGAAGCATCCGATTTTATTCGCAAGATTATCTCAGGTGCCTTCGCCGTGCGGTCCTACGACTACTTTAGAGTCACTCCACCTCAACGAGATGATCACATTCACATTGATCCCGTGGAATTGGCATGCGCAGTGACAGAGAGATCGAGAACCTTCACCGTCCTCGTGACGCTCAACAAGGTTGGCTTGAAGTTACCTCAACAACTGCAGAGGATCTGGCAGGGAAAGCTCAAAGCCGTCAACCAGAGCGCCGCGCAAATGGAGGCAAGCTTCAGATCACTCGACCCGTCCGAACGTGAAAATGCAAGAGACTATGTTCGGGCACTCGCTGACGCACAAACCACGGAAGAACAAGCTTCGTCGAGCACGAAGGAGACCAACAAGCAGATGAAACGGCGCAAACAATTTGGAACACATGATCTTTGTCATGGAAGAGGACATGTGAGAGGATTCTGAGCGCCGGGCTAATTCAAAGTAGTGCCTACGCACCTGGGATGCGAAGTTTTCCCGGTGCGATGGCCCCAAATTTTCAACGATTATAAGCCAAGGTATAGGATACCTTGGCAGCATGGCGAATTCATGAGGGGAGTGGAACATCGGAGGTTGATCGACCCCGACTAGTACACGAACCTCCCAATCATTAAGCCATGCATTGTATAGATTTGAGACCAAAAGAACATAATTTGCGGGAACATGACCAATTCGACATTCGGCATTTGCTCCTGTGCCTGGCTCCTGTGCCGTAGATCCGCGGCCAGGAAAGCCAGGCATGGGGGGTGTGAAAGCAATGTCAGTCACAGATAGATCGGTCATACCCGCAGTACACATCAGAACAGTTCACGCGCATGAGCCAGTACCCTCTGTTACACTGGCTCAAGCCGCCAACACAAGACCGCTCAGTCGATGGAAAACAGATGAGCGCCGCTGAAGCTTAAGCTGGGATTTAACATTGGCTAGATTCAGAACGTTGTCAAGCACACGGCATTCAACGAACCCGAGCCCATACACAATAATATATAATACATAATATATAATATATAATACATAATATATAATATATAATATATAATAATAAAATATGACATATATTATATAACATATAATATAATATAATATAAAATAACATAATATAATATAATAAAAGATATAATATAATTTAATATACTATACTATAATATAATATAATATAATATGATATAATATAATATGATATAATATAATATGATATAATATAACATAACATATAATAGTTTTTAAACATAATATAACATAATATAACATAATATAATATAATATACTTTAATATATAATATACTATAACATAGTATAACATAATATGATATAATATAATATAATATAGTATAATATAATATATAATAGTGTATATATATATATGTAATACGTATACACCGCGGAAAGATTCACCGCCGATGTCGATGGGGCTCTGAGGAGTGGGCAACACTGTCTTTGGACCTGGTTTGCTCAAACCTGCGATGGCGACTGGGTGAAATGTATAAAACCATATATATATATATATACAGGATATATATATATATAGGTGATATAACATAGATATAACATAGATATGTCTCTATATCTAAATAGGATACTAGGTGAATAAAACCACTCCAAGACTTGCTGTGAATTTGCAGGAAGAAAGGTCTGATAACCATGCTTTCTGCCGCAAATGTGTAGCTCCAAACATGGGATATCACCAAGATTGCAACTTCAAAAGTAGAATTCTGGTACTTTGATGTACTTTGCAGGTTACCAGGTTTTTGGGCTTCTTGCTGACTAGGCCAAGCCTTGCCCGAAAAACACACACCTTCCACACACTTCCAAAAAGAAAATGTGGCCTACCCATTTGCAAAGACTAAGGCGATGTCAGGATGTCAAACACAACTTCAATTTGCTGAGATCTCCAAACTTGGAGGTTGAGTTTTAGTATGAGAATATATGGATGTTTCCTAAAATGGGGTTTTGGGGATCCCCCATTTTAAGGAACCTCCACACGAGAATTATGCACCCAAAGTCACCCCCAGTGGACATTTCTCTAATTTTCTTCCAGTCAAAACCAGTCGACCGCTTGACTTGTACACTGTGCTGCGTGCTGCGCTCAGGATCTCCAACTGACACGCACGTCTATGATCAATCGTGTAATCCGAACCAAAATGATGCCTTGGACGCGACCTGCAACATGTGGGAAGATGTACCTTTGCGACCATGAAAAAAGGGGAAGGTCCAAAACAAAAAGGCTATAATTCTTGGTGTGAAAACCAGGCTGACTCTCTTCATTCTCCCAAAAGCCTGGAAACAGATGCCATCATAGCGATGCCACAGACTCAAGGAATTTCTTCAGTGGCTGCTGCGAGACATCCCCCTGTTGGTTGATGATAGGGTTTATGCTATCGATATACGGAAGTTTCCTGAGTCATGGATTCCCCAGTCATCATCCCAATTATAGCTAGGATTTTCCATGAAATAAATGGGCTCACGCCCTGGTGCCGCCGACCCCCCCATTAAGCGTTTGAAGGGTTTGAAGCGGCCTTGGGGTAGCTTTTGCCTGCGCGGTTGGGCGTTCCGAGAAGTTTTGGCAAAGTTTTAAGAATTTTTAAGCCTTTTCAAGGGTTTAAGGGCTGGCAAACGGCAGGCTTGGACGCCCATAAGAAGCCATTGATGTGGCCTTGGGGTGCCTGTTGGCTGCGGGATGAGGCATGCCAAGAGAATGTTTAAGCGTTTGAAGGGTTTGAAGCGTGTAACGCCTGGCGAACGGCAGGCTGGACCGCCCAGCAGAAGCAATGGATGTGGCCTTGGGGTAGCTTTTGCCTGCGCGGTTGGGCGTTCCGAGAAGCTTTGGCGAAGTTTTAAGAATTTTTAAGATGTGGCCTTGGGGTGCCTGTTGGCTGCGGGACTAGGCATGCCAAGAGAATGTTTAAGCGTTTGAAGGGTTTGAAGCGGCCTTGGGGTAGCTTTTGCCTGAGGTTTGAAGGGTTTGAACGTGTAACGCCTGGCGAACGGCTTGCTGGACCGCCCAGCAGAAGCGATGGATGTGGCCTTGGGGTAGCTTTTGCCTGCGCGGTTGGGCGTTCCGAGAAGCTTTAAGCCTTTTAAGGGTTTAAGGGCTGGCAAACGGCAGGCTTGGACGCCCATAAGAAGCCATTGATGTGGCCTTGGGGTGCCTGTTGGCTGCGGGATGAGGCATGCCAAGAGAATGTTTAAGCGTTTGAAGGGTTTGAAGCGTGTAACGCCTGGCGAACGGCAGGCTGGACCACCCAGCAGAAGCGATGGATGTGGCCTTGGGGTAGCTTTGGCCTGCGTGGTTGGGCGTGCGGAGAAGCTTTTGAAAAGTTTTAAGGGTTTTAAGGGTTTTAAGCCTTTTAAGGGTTTTAAGCCTTTTAAGGGTTTAAGGGTTGGCAAACGGCAGGCTTGGACGCCCATAAGAAGCCATTGATGTGGCCTTGGGGTGCCTGTTGGCTGCGGGATGAGGCATGCCAAGAGAATGTTTAAGCGTTTGAAGGGTTTGAAGCGTGTAATGCCCGGCGAACGGCAGGCTGGACCGCCCAGCAGAAGCAATGGATGTGGCCTTGGGGTAGCTTTTGCCTGCGCGGTTGGGCGTTCCGAGAAGCTTTGGCAAAGTTTTAAGAATTTTTAAGCCTTTTCAAGGGTTTAAGGGCTGGCAAACGGCAGGCTTGGACGCCCATAAGAAGCCATTGATGTGGCCTTGGGGTGCCTGTTGGCTGCGGGATTAGGCATGCCAAGAGAATGTTTAAGCGTTTGAAGGGTTTGAAGCGGCCTTGGGGTAGCTTTTGCCTGCGCCGTTGGGCGTGCCGAGAAGCTTTTGCAAAGTTTTAAGCGTTTTAAGGGTTTTAAGCCTTTTAAGGGTTTTAAGGGTTTAAGGGCTGGCAAACGGCAGGCTTGGACGCCCATAAGAAGCCATTGATGTGGCCTTGGGGTGCCTGTTGGCTGCCTGCGCGGTTGGGCGTTCCGAGAAGCTTGTGCAAAGTTTTAAGGGTTTTAAGGGTTTTAAGCCTTTTAAGGGTTTAAGGGCTAGGCTTGGACGCCCATAAGAAGCCATTGATGTGGCCTTGGGGTGCCTGTTGGCTGCGGGATGAGGCATGCCAAGAAAATGTTGCAGCGTTTGAAGGGTTTTAAACGTGTAGCCCCTCGCGAACGGCAGGCTTTGCCTGCGCGGTTGGGCGTGCCGAGAAGCTTTTGCAAAGTTTTAAGGGTTTAAAGGGTTTTAAGCCTTTTAAGGGTTTTAAGGGTTTAAGGGCTGGCAAGCGGCAGGCTTGGACGCCCATAAGAAGCCATTGATGTGGCCTTGGGGGGCCTGTTGGCTGCGGGATGAGGCATGCCAAGAGAATGTTTAAGCGTTTGAAGGGTTTGAAGCGGCCTTGGGGTAGCTTTTGCCTGCGCGGTTGGGCGTTCCGAGAAGCTTGTGCAAAGTTTTAAGAATTTTTAAGCCTTTTCAAGGGTTTAAGGGCTGGCAAACGGCAGGCTTGGACGCCCATAAGAAGCCATTGATGTGGCCTTGGGGTGCCTGTTGGCTGCGGGATGAGGCATGCCAAGAGAATGTTTAAGCGTTTGAAGGGTTTGAAGAGTGTAACGCCTGGCGAACGGCAGGCTGGACCGCCCAGCAGAAGCGATGGATGTGGCCTTGGGGTAGCTTTTGCCTGCGCGGTTGGGCGTTCCGAGAAGCTTGTGCAAAGTTTTAAGGGTTGTAAGGGTTTTAAGCCTTTTAAGGGTTTTAAGCCTTTTAAGGGTTTTAATGCTTTTGAGGGTTTAAGGGCTAGGCTTGGACGCCCATAAGAAGCCATTGATGTGGCCTTGGGGTGCCTGTTGGCTGCGGGATGAGGCATGCCAAGAGAATGTTTAAGCGTTTGAAGGGTTTGAAGCGGCCTTGGGGTAGCTTTTGCCTGCGCGGTTGGGCGTTCCGAGAAGCTTGTGCAAAGTTTTAAGAATTTTTAAGCCTTTTCAAGGGTTTAAGGGCTGGCAAACGGCAGGCTTGGACGCCCATAAGAAGCCATTGATGTGGCCTTGGGGTGCCTGTTGGCTACGGGATGAGGCATGCCAAGAGAATGTTTAAGCGTTTGAAGGGTTTGAAGCGTGTAACGCCTGGCGAACGGCAGGCTGGACCGCCCAGCAGAAGCGATGGATGTGGCCTTGGGTTAGCTTTTGCCTGCGCGGTTGGGCGTTCCGAGAAGCTTTGGCAAAGTTTTAAGAATTTTTAACTTTTTTAAGGGTTTAAGGGCTGGCAAACGTCAGGCTTGGACGCCCATAAGAAGCCATTGATGTGGCCTTGGGGTGCCTGTTGGCTGCGGGATGAGGCATGCCAAGAGAATGTTTAAGCGTTTGAAGGGTTTGAAGCGGCCTTGGGGTAGCTTTTGCCGAACCACCCAGAAGAAGCCATTGATGTGGCCTTAGGGTAGCTTGCTTGACGGCCAAGAAGCTATGATGTGGCCGCGAGGCTTTTCCGTGCGGGGTTGGGCGTGCAACGCCCTAAGAAGAGAGGGCTGTGCAGGCAGACGGCAAGCTGATCGAAGCTGCCGCGAAGCATTGAGGCATTGGAAGCTAAGAAAGACAAGTTCCACACCTGCGGTGGTCCCAGGCGCCGCCCCTGCCTTGGCGAAGGCCGGGGTCGGCGGATAAATCACTTTAGAGTGGGATTTTCCATGAAATAAATCATTCATTTCGATAAAAAGGGGTACCCCCACTATGGAAACCATCTTGGGGATGATCATGATACATTCTGATATTCCAACGCTCGTCCATGTGGAGAAAAGAGAGACATTTTATGCCGGAACTCTTACGTTGGTTGAAGAGGTGACATTCCCCAGCTATACGTTGGTTCCCCATGTCACAGTGACTGTTGGGTTGAACAAATCCCTGGGTCTGGGAGTGGTTTTTGCCGTTTTTTTTCCCCGAACCCAAAGCCGGAACGGCATCCTGGAAACCTGGAACTTGCTGTTGGGTTGCAAAGCTGGGTTTATAAGCCCATTTAAGTATAGATACATCTACCATAATTCCTAATTATTGGAGTTGTAAATCAATTTGGCTAACGAATTCGGGCATCTCTTGTATATCCGCTTGCTGACGGCAGATGTAAAGTCCCAACTCCAACTAGATCAACCTTCGTTTCTCCCAAATATATTGTATCGAATTCTCGCATGCATAATAAAGATCTTGTTCCCTTTTGTTAATTTAACAGTTTGCGATGGACCTGGCCATGGAGCTGAGAGAGGCAACCCCTGGTGCCAAACTTGGAAAATGCCCTGAGATGATGCGAAAAATCCTGTGGATTGAAGCCATGATATTTTAAATACCAGCAACAAAACAATACGAAAGGTCAACCATTCGTAGATCATTTTCCTCTCGAACGGAGGTTTTCTCATGGATTTCCGCCTTTCTCAGGTCTTTAAGCTGACGAACCCCTTGTTTAATTGCGACAGCAGGGTGTACTGCAACTCGGCACTTTGAAGGCAGGGGCAGGTGCCTTTCTTGCCCCTTGAAGCCAGTAAAATCACCCGTAGATGAGCCAGTTAGATGAATGACATATCCCTGGTACAAATTACGAAAGCTAGCCCAGGCCAATTTTTAGTCTTCGTTTTCCTTTTAGGCCCGTTCGCTCATTCCAGCAGTGTTACGAGCTCTTCTAAATTCGGGTACGGATCGGCCCGCGGTGATCCAGACGTATGGAACGGTCTGGATCATCTGCGTTTTGGTATGGATCGGGGGTATGGATCGGCCTGTGGGTTCAAGGTATGGATCGGGGCTTTACATTTTAACTCGCAGCCTTCTCCCAATAGTTGGCTCCAACCATTATTTCATCACCAGTTTCGTCTATTTCTCATGTTTTCTTTGCGTCGTTGTTCCCGTAGCACTCCTTCACACTTTCCCCTCTTCCTTTTCTTGACGTTGCTGGCTTCACAATTTCTCTACAATTTTGTATTTTATGTTGCATTATTTGTTAGGCAAGCCTCTCCTTCAGTTCCTTTTTTTAGTTTTTGATTCAACTTCTTTCAATGCCCCTTTGAATTTCTTTCCTCCCAATAATTGTTTGCAAGGTTCATCCCGATGATTTTGCTACATTGGCATGCCTATAGCGCCATCATGCACTGCTTTTGCTCTCCTTTCCTTTTCACATTTGATTTGTCTAAAATGGCGTTGCATTGGTGCAATGCTTCTCCCGACTCTTCTTTTTTTGCATCAAATTTTCAAGTACATTTTTTAAATACGCTTTTCATTGCGATCCTGTGTCGCCAATCACTTGCTACACATCCCTTAGCATCCTTTCAGTATGTTCTTTGCCCGTTTGGAAACCAAGTCCATCAAACTTGAATTATGTTCACCCCAGAGGTTTGGGTGGGCGTAATGTCCACGCTTTATACAGCACAGGTAGGCTCCCAATGACGCAGAAACATAAGCATGAACGCAAATTCTGCCAGCATGTTCAGCAACTTCTACCCCGCACATGGCCTTTGACAAAAAGCGTAAAGAAAACGATAAAAAGACAAAATATGACTGTGAATGGAAGGGCTAGGATATGTCTCTGTTGCAATTTCGCTCTCGTCCTCGTCCGAATTTGCATCTTTATCTTCATCTTCATCCTTATCCTCATCCTCATCATCATCATCATAATCATGGTCTTCCTCTTCCTCTTCCTCTTCCTCTTCCTCTTCCTCTTCCTCTCTCCTTCCTCTTCTTTCCCTTCTTCCTCTTCTTCCTCTTCTTCCTCTTCTTCCTCTTCTTCCTCTTCTTCCTCTTCTTCCTCTTCTTCCTCTTCTTCCTCTTCTTCCTCTTCTTCCCTCTTCTTCCTCTTCTTCCTCTTCTTCCTCTTCTTCCTCTTCTTCCTCTTCTTCCTCTTCTTCCTCTTCTTCCTCTTCTTCCTCTTCTTCCTCCTCCTCTTCCTTGTCGTCGTGGTCGTCGTGGTCGTCGTGGTCGTCGTGGGCATCGTGGTCGTCGTGGTCGTCGTGGTCGTCGTGGTCGTCGTGGTCGTCGTGGTCGTCGTGGTCGTCGTCGTGGTCGTCGTGGTCGTCGTCGTGGTCGTCGTGGTCGTGGTCGTCGTGGTCGTGGTCGTCGTGGTCGTGGTCGTGGTCGTGGTCGTGGTCGTGGCGTGGTCGTGTCGTGGGCGTGGTCGTGGTTGTGGTTGTGGTTGTGGTTGTGGTTGTGGTTGTGGTGGCGGTAGTGGTAGTGGTTGTGGTGGTGGTGGTGGTGGTCGTGGTCGTGGTCGTGGTCGTGGTCGTGGTCGTGGTCGTGGTCGTGGTCGTGGTCGTGGTCGTGGTCGTGGTCGTGGTCGTCGTGGTCGTCGTGGTCGTCGTGGTCGTCGTCGTCGTCGTCGTCGTCTCGGTCGTCGTCGTCGTCGCCGCCGTCGCCGTCGCCGTAGCTGTCGTCATCACGAGCACCAGCACCAGCACCATCACCATCACCATCATCATCATCATCATCATCATCACCAGCACCAGCACCAACACCTGCACCATCATCATGATTATCATAATAATAATAACAAAATAATAATAATCAGCATCATCATCATCAATTCCATCTTCATCGTGATCATCATCCATCATCCTCGTCTTCATCTCAAGACTGCGGGAAACATGGCAATACCCACCTTGTGCAAAAAAACACCAGACGCAGCATGCTTTGTGCCAGCAAGACACGGCATTGGAAGATGCAAATTGCGTAGCTACGTAGCGGGTCTCGGGTAACAATTTTTCTTGGTGAGTTGAAAGGCCGCACGGCCACAATGAAAGATTAGACGAAATACCTACCTCCCTTCTCAAGTATATTCCTATATATATTTATATATATATATATATTAAATTATATATGTACATAATATTAGACATATAGATATATTACTATATATTATGATATGTATTACATTATAGTCAATATATTTTATATTAAACATTTTGTTTTTATTATTTTTGTTTATTATTGTATTATATTATATTATATTTTTTTAAATAAACATATATACATATATATATACACATGAAATTTAATTATATATTATTTTTACTATTATTATTATTATTATCACTATTATATATATATTGTATTGTATATGTATTATATATAACATTAACTTTAATGTTATATACATATTGTATTATATTACTATATAATCATAAAATATATACACATGAGTTACCAAACATGTGCAAGCTGGGCTGCACCCTCTAACTAAGGAGCCACTTGTGCTTGCTCCATATTTTTTGCACGTCTCATCACGGTGCACATCAACTTTGTCATCGAACAAAACTGTACTGAGCAACCACTATTATCTGAAGTTACCATAAACACAACAATAGGACAATCGAAGGACATTTAGAAGTCAAATTTCCGGCTTATGGACAGATGCAGCAACAGCAAGACCTGGTACTTCATGTCTGCGTTTTTATGGTCAGGTCAGCTCTTGAGGGATGCTAGCCTCGAACCGATGATCTTATGATATCAAATGGCATTTCAATGCATTTTTTTTCCAAGGCAGCAATGATCCGATCTATGACTGCCTGGCCATGAAACTCTTCATTGAAGTGGAGCTGAACCAAACCTCTTATTGGGACCCTAATTATGATGATTCCATCACAGATGTGCAAGGCAGATTCCTTGACGGGGTGGTAGCTTGGTTCCGAGAAATGGGGCAGTTTGCCACGACAGTTTTGTGGCATCTTGAAATCTTAGAGGTTTCGTGACCAATGGATTTGAGGTCCCCGATTCGGAGAAAAAAACATGTTTTTGAAAGATATTTCTTTTGCAAAACCTCCCTGATTCATCCTGATTCTACTCGGTTTTTCTGCTAGTTGAGCAAAGTTCAGAAGTGTGTTTGTTATTTCATTTTATAGTGTTTACTATTGCCACTTTTTTTGCGGTTTATACCCGGTCTAAAACTAAAGCTGATTCACGCAACAATGACAATACCCGGTGCTTTTATCACAGGTACTTCGTGGATTTTATGAGCAAACATATTTTTGCAAACATGTTGTTGTTTTTTCAAGATACATTTAGTATACAGATCTTTGGGTAACATAATATGATGCAGATAGTTTATCGAAAAAGACGATGGGCACTCTAGCCCAGCAAAAAAATCGTTCAACTCAATCCAAACAATAGATTCTAAGAATTATAGTCTGTATTCAGAAGCTATTGAGCATGGAAACAAAAATCAAGTTATCACACTATTTGGCATACTGTAACAGGACATATCGAAGATTCAGTTACAACAGTATTCAAAATATATTGATAGAATCTGCTGTACTTATTACAATATATATATATACACATATGATTTACCGCAACTTGTGTTCGGGTGTGCCACGCTTCGCAGCATTTATTTGGTGATGATTTCCTTGGCGTTCCGAGACCACCGCCTTTGTCAACATGGCGAGCGCCAAGCTCAAGAAGAATTCGGTGACGCGTGATGTGGTCCTGGACTCTTCGCAGGTGCTCAATACCCTCACAGAGCAAGACCTCACCCTCAACAAGTTGCGCAGTTTGATGTGCATTTTTTTTGTACTCTCTGGTAAACAAACATAGCTATTGAAAATGGTGATTTATAGTGGATTTACCGATTAAAAATGGTGATTTCCATAGTTATGATAGTTTACCAGAGGGTAAGGAAAAACTGACATGTATCAATGATCTTCTCATGATCTTCTCATGATCTTTTACAAAATGCTGGTGGGTATTGATATATAATACCATCCTCCTATACGATATGAAACACCCGCTAAATGGCCCCAAAGATGTGTAAATCCACCCAATAAACCATGGTGTTTAGTATTGGGGCGATGAGATCAACATTTATAGTCTTAGATTTGCTGAGTCAGCAATTTTGGGGATACACTGGGCATATACTGGGCGTATCGGATTATCGGGATAAAATCCAGTGGGGAGTGGATGATTTTCTGAAGGGATCTACATAATGGGATGTATGGGATATAATTCCAGTCACTCTGCAACGAGCCACCTCGATTTTATGAAAGGCTGCGGGCTGGAGCTGGGGATGCGGGCTGAACACGGGCCTACTTAGGCCCGACCTAAGCCTACTTTGGCCGGCGTTAAGTTGAGCCGAACACAAGCCGACTTGGGCCCACTTGGACCTAAGTTGGGCCCAATTTGGACTGCTTGGGTCCAACGTGGCGCAGCTTGGGCGGGCAACTGCAGCCTAAGTTGAGCATGCCCGCACGAACCCCAAACTAAACGAAACGCGCATTTCGGCATTTCGTATCATGACGCGTTGGGTGGTCAATATTGGCTCGTGCGGGGCTTAGCTTGGGCCCAACTGCTGCCTCAGGCCCGCGTGACAGTACCTTCGCACCAGGTTTGGCCCAACGCAGACCCAGCATGGCGAACATTGCTTGCACGAACCTCCGTCGAAGCCCGAGAAGCGTGGCAAACACGAATGAAAACATATGACAATATGTTTTAAAGTTTGCGTTGGACCTGCCAGGTCCCCATGTTGAGTCCACGTGGGGCGCAAGTTGGGCCGAAGTTGTTCCCAAACAGGTCGAACTTGGGTCCAAGTTGCGCTGGGTTGGACCCATGTTGGACCCACGTTGGGCCCCAAGTGGGTGAACCAAGTTGGCCCAGGGCAAGCCTAGATTGAGCCAGTGATGTGAAGCATGCGTTAAATTACCAGTATCGTGCACTTTTTGGCGGCCTGCGACTTTGAAAATGCCACCCTCCCAGCTGAAACTGCACCATCATGCTGATTACATTGGGCTGGTTCGCGCGCTAAAATACCGCGCTCCGGCACCTTCCGTGCAGGGAATGTTGAATAATAGGGGGTGGCCAGAGAACTCAGCACATAACTCAGATATGCTGAGTTAGTGATTTTTGGCGTTTACATATTGATAAATCAACCGTGACTCTGGAATTTAGAGGGATATTTTTCTGCGGGGCATTTCAAGCAATTCCAGGTTGACCTATGCCATCGGTGTCAAGAACTTGCAATATGCCATCAAGCCCAAGGAGATCTTGTCTTCTCAGGACAGAGACTCACAAGGTGGTGCCCCGGTTAGCTAAGTAAACCGATTTACAAAACTGCGGGCACCACCTTGCAGGGAGGTACGGGAGAGCAGAAGTCTTCGACCTGACTGTAGCCACGGTAGATGATCCGATTGTTTTGCTGCGACGTTGATCTGCCAAATGGTGATTTAACTGTAATGGCGATTTAGACATGTGGCACCAGCGGGCCCAACAAACATGGGTAATTTTTTCAAAGTCAGATATTCACGAACCACAAATCTGGGGGATTTAATCCTAAATTTCACAATCCATGTCTTGTGTCCTTTCAAATTTGAGCCATTCCCTTGCCAAATCTTCCGCAGGACTTTCAGACGTATTTGACAGCGGAAGTTACCAAATTGAACCTGCAAGACCCCATGAGCGTGAGCAACGCCACCGTTGGTGGACCCACTTTCAGCACCACGCAGGAGTTTCTTAGTTCTGGGGTTGGATGGGCTTTTGGGTGGCTAGGGACGAAGTCTGGTTTTGAGATGCTTGACCCATGTGCTATGAGTAGATTCAGGTCTTACAGGAACTTTAGACTTGCTGAGGCACATCTCCTGTATATATATATATATGTCTATGTGCATGTATACGTACATGTTAGATGTGTCTTATGTAGTATGGAGTGTTATTGCTAAAACTAACAAATAGATATTATTACATTGTTATTTTTGGTTTCTTAAGTTCCAATGTATTTAAATATCACGTTTTTTTTTGGAACAATCTCAAATATATATATATATTCTTTTGTTGATATCTGGATTTGCATTATTCTGATTATTTATTACGATTTTATTGCTGTGATATTATTGAGATACCAGTAGTACCCGCACGAGGCGGGGCGGAAGTTGCCTTAGGGTTAGAATATATACAAGACATCTTCCATCTATAGAACTTGCTGGCGCCGTGCGCCAGCCAGGCCCGCGCGTGCATGCTTGCTTTGTGCCACAGTGATGCACTGTTCCAAAGGTCGCACTTGAAGCTCCACACTTCACACTGCACTCTTCACACTTCGGACTTACACCTCACACTCCGCACTTCATCTCATCTTATCTCATCTGAGCTCTTCTCACCTCACCTCAGCTCTTCTCTCCTCGTTTCTTATCTCTTCTCATTTGTCATCGAAGTTCTTCTCAACTATTTTCATATCATCAGAGCCCTGCTCAACCTTTCTCATCTCACCGAAGCTCTTCTCAACTCATCTCCGCTCTCCTGCACGTCAGAAAGCTCTTACTGTCAGAGAGGTCTCTTGCACAGAAAAACCGTTGCGCGCAGAAAGCTTTTTGCAAAGAGAAGCTTTTGCACACAGAAGCTTGAGACACAGATGCACTTACACAGAAAAGCCTCTACAAACAGTGAAGCTTTTACACACAGGAAGCTTTTGCTCAGAGAAGCTTTTATAGACGGATGCGTTTACACACAGGAAGCTTTTACTCAGAGAAGCTTTTAGAGACGGAAGTTTTTACACAGTGAAGCTTTTACACAAAACCTTTTACGTACTAGTTTGCGGAAAACATTTCCCAGTACTACTTTGTACTACAAAGCTTGCACAAAGCACTTCCCAGTATTACTTTACAAAGAACTCCCCTGTACGACTTCGTACTACAAAGCTCGCACAAAGTACTTACCAGTACTTCTTTGTACCACAGAGCATGCACAAAGCACTTCCCAGTACTACTTCGCACTACAGAGCTTGCACAAAGAACTCCCTAGTACAACTTCGTACTTCAAAGCTTGCACAAAGTACGTCCCAGTACTACTTTGTACCACAAAGCATGCACAAAGTACGTCCCATTCCTACTTCGTATTACAAAGCTTGCACAAAGGACTTCCCAGTACAACTTTGTACCACAAAGCTTGCACAATGTACTTCCCAGTACTACTTTGTACTACAAAGCTTGCACAAAGTACGTCCCATTCCTACTTTGTACTACAAAGCTTGCACAAAGGACTTCCCAGTACAACTTTGTACTACAAAGCTTGCACAAAGTACTTCCCAGTACTACTTTGTACTACAAAGCTTGGACAAAGAACTTCCCAGCACTACTGTACTACAAAGCTTGCACAAAGTACTTCCCAGCACTACTGTACTACAAAGCTTGCAAAAAGTACTTCCCAGTACTACGTTGTACTACCAAGCTTGCGCAAAGTGCGTCCCAGTACTATTTTTTACTACAAAGCTTGCACAAAGTACGTCACAGTACCAACACAATGGAACTACGCGCAACGGCACCAGAAATTGCAGCTCCAAAACCGGATTTCGAAGCGCTTTTTACAAGGAATTTTTCAGGGCAAATCACAAGCGCCAAAATTGTGAGAATCTGCTAACGAAGCACTATTGCAACCTTGATGCGGCCACGCCACTAGTACTTGCAATGCCCAGCTGCAAAAGACAATAGCAGTATTACGCAAATAGCCGCAGCAGCGAGGAACCTTGATGCAGCCACTACAAGGCGTTTTGCAGCACCACGTCCACATTCATGCAGCCACTACCATAAGATTTGCAACCGCACGTTGCAGAACACCCTGGAGGAACCAATCACACGTCAACACGAAGGGCCCGTACCCGCCGCCCACACAAGCTGCCCTTCATCGCCGCAGCCACTTTACCCGAAAAAAAATGCGATGTTTCGTGCTCCGGCTTCCTCCCCAACACCAGTCCCATGCAACATTCATGCAGCCATTGCAATGCATTTTGCAGCACCACGTGCACATTCATGCGGCGATTACAATGCGATTTGCAACCGTTCATAATTGGCTCTATCCACTTTACAAGGAAAAACGCAATGTTTCGCGCTCAGCGTTTCCCTCAGTCACCACCACCCCCCAGTCACCACTTCTTTCAGCCACCACTTGCCTTAGTCACCACTTCCCTCCCTTAGTCACGACCTCTCTAAGTTATCACTTCCCTTTGTCACCACTTCCCTTAGTCACCATTTCTCTTAGTCACCATTTCTCTATGTCACCACGTCCCTCAGTCACCACTTCCCTAAGTCATCCCTAAGTCACTAATTACTTCCCTTAGTCACCACTTCGCTAAGCCACCACTTCTCTTAGTCACCACTTCTCTAAGTCACCACTTCTCTATAGGTCACCACTTCCCGAAGTTACCACTTCCCAGAGTCACCACTTCCCTAAGTCGCCACTTCCCTTAGCCACCATTTCCCCAAGTCACCACTTCCCTTAGTCACAGCTTCTCTTAGTCACCACTTCCCCAAGTGGCCACTTTCCTCAGTCACCACTTCCCTTAGTCACGACCTCTCTAAGTTATCACTTCCCTTTGTCGCCACTTCCCTTAGTCACCATTTCTCTTAGTCACCATCTCTCTATGTCACCACGTCCCTCAGTCACCACTTCCCTAAGTCATCCCTAAGTCACTAATTACTTCCCTTAGTCACCACTTCGCTAAGCCACCACTTCTCTTAGTCACCACTTCTCTAAGTCACCACTTCTCTATAGGTCACCACTTCCCGAAGTTACCACTTCCCAGAGTCACCACTTCCCTAAGTCGCCACTTCCCTTAGCCACCATTTCCCCAAGTCACCACTTCCCTTAGTCACAGCTTCTCTTAGTCACCACTTCCCCAAGTGGCCACTTTCCTCAGTCACCACTTCCCTTAGTCCGCTTCCCCAATGGCCACTTTCTTCAGCCATCCCCTAGTCACCACTTCCCTATGTCACCAGTTTTCCGCTAGCAAAATATCTCCCTTTAGTCACCACTTCCCTAAGTCGCCACCATCTCTCAGAGGCGCACTTCCCCAAGTGGGCCACTTTCCTCAGTCAACCATTCCCTTCTTCACACTTCCCTAAGTCCCCAAACCCTCTTCTCCAGTTCCCATATCTATCTCTTAAGTCCCCACTTCCCTAAGTTACCACTTCCCTAAGGTCCCCACGTCCGTTTAGTCACCACCTCCTTATTGCGTGACGTATAGTCTCACGTTCTATTTGTCGGAAACCGCGGAAGATGCTTCCCCAACTTCCTTGATTACCAGTAGTACCGCACAAGGCTGTGTCGGAATTTCATCAAAATTAGGAAACTAAAATAGAGAGGTGGGATGGCAAGTCGAAGCCACTGATGGACTGAAAGGTGCTTTGAGGTTCTCCTCTCTTCTCTCTCTTTCTCTCTTTTCTCTCTGTTTCCTATCTTTCTCTGATTATCTACCTACCTCCTACTGATCTATCTGTCTACCTATCTATATGTCTGTCTGTCTATCTATCTCCCTATCTATCTACGTATCTACCTATCTATCTAGCTGTCTAGTTTCCTAGCTATTTGTCTATCTATCTCCCTATCTATCTATCTGTCTGTCTGTCTATCTATCGATCTATCTATCTATCTATCGATCTATCGATCGATCGATCTATCTATCTACCTATCCATCCATCCATTTATCTACCTATCTATCTGTCTATCTTCCTATCCTATCCTATCCTATCCTGTCCTGTCCTGTCCTGTCCTGTCCTATCCATCCTATCCATCCTATCCATCCTTTCTATCCTATCTATCCTCTCTATCCTATCTATCTATCTATCTGTCTATCTGTCTACCTATCTGTCTGTCTATCTATCTATCTATCTATGTATGTATCTATCTATCTATGTATGTATGTATCTATCTATCTATCTATCTATCTTCTCTATCTATCTATCTATCTATGTATGTATCTATCTATCTATCTATCTATCTTCTCTATCTATCTATCTATCTATCTATCTATCTATCTATCTATCTATCTATCTATCTATCTATCTATCTATCTAATCTATCTAATCTATCTAATCTATCTAATCTATCTACTCTATCTAATCTATCTAATCTATCTAATCTATCTAATCTATCTAATCTATCTAATCTATCTAATCTATCTAATCTATCTAATCTATCTAATCTATCTAATCTATCTAAGCTATCTAATCTATCTAATCTATCTAATCTATCTAATCTATCTAATCTATCTAATCTATCTAATCTATCTAATCTATCTATTCTATCTAATCTATCTAATCTATCTAATCTATCTAATCTATCTAATCTATCTAATCTATCTAATCTATCTAATCTATCTAATCTATCTAATTTATCTAATCTATCTAATCTATCTAATCTATCTAATCTATCTAATCTATCTAATCTATCTATCTATCTATCTATCTATCTATCTAATCTATCTAATCTATCTATCTATCTATCTATCTGGTCTATCTATCTATCTAATCTATCTATCTATCTAATCTATCTATCTATCTAATCTATCTATCTATCTAATCTAATCTAATCCAATCCAACCAATCTAATCTAATCTAATCTAATCTAATCTAATCTAATCTAATCTATCTACCTATCTACCTATCTATCTATCTACCTATCTATCTATCTATCTACCTATCTATCTATCTATCTACCTATCTATCTATCTACCTATCTATC